ATGAATCCACGCTGCTATAAGAGGGCATGAAAGAAGATACAGAAAGTACAAGTCGGAAGTTGGCCATTTTCTACTAGCATGTGAACAATCGACGTGTGTCGTCATCATTCGGGCGTTCAGGTATTTCGGTCGTGTCTGAGAGGGTGATCTTCTCAACTTCCTCGTGCAACCTGACATGCCTGTCGGTTCGTGCACGTGCGTCAGGCTCTGATGGTTTATTCTGGGATCGTCAAGAAGGTCTTTCCCGAATCTTGCCTGGAACCCCGTGGAAGAACAACCCAGGCCTCTACGTGTGCCCGCAGTGTGTCCCCTGTGTCTGTGTCTGTGTCGGTGTCTGTGTCTGTGTCTGTGTCTCTGTCTCTGTCTCTGTCTGTGTGTGTGTGTGTGTGTGTGTCTCTGTGTGTGTGTGTGTGTGTGCGTGCGTGCGTGTGTGTGCGTGTGTGCGTGTGCGTGTGCGTGCGCGTGCGTGCGTGCGTGTGTGCGTGCCGCGTGTGGTAGCGCGATCTCAGGAGAAGGAATGCGGCTTCATCGCAACTCTGCACAAGAAGCTGCTGCATTTGCTTGCATGGCGTGTCAAGTTGGTTGCACAAGCGGTGCAGGCCAGAACCATTTGTAGTTGAGTGCCCGGAGGCTGCGTTGCAGTTGCTGTCGTTCCACGAACAAAGATGACGTGCATCTGTGCACGAGTGTTGCCCTGCGCACACTTGAGGACTGCAAGCCCGTGAAGGACCAGTTCGGGTTCCTAGGCAAGTTTTGCAGCATGTCCTGGTTTCGGAGATGTCGAGATATTGATCATTGTCAGGGGGCCGCTGCGTACAGCCAAGGAAAGATGTACTTGTGCCACTGCATGTCTTGGCTGAAGGCCTGGCTGGACCAGGACTGATTCATTGATGCAATTGCGCAATCTGAGCGCCGATAGAAAGCCCAGGGCGCCCACGCAACGGGGCCAAGAAGCGTACATTGTCAACACTTCCCAGTGCATCCCGCGGATTCTGGGAGGAGACCTTGTAGCTTTTCGTCTCACGTCGGACGGTCAGATGCCCCAGGCTGCGAAATTGCTTCGGCTGAAAGCAAGTACCCTGGAACTCAAGAAATACATAGCTTCCCTGTTTTGGCAAGCAAATTGCGAGAACTCGGCAACTCAATTATGACAGTGAGGGATGGTACTGGTAGTGAAGATCGGCATCATGCTGGGATCTGGGCATGTTGAACTACGTACCTGTAGCACAGGCCACCGCGAGTGCCTCCACCGTTTCAGACATCTCGCAGCCAAGGCGCACCTGGCAGCTATGCTTTGACTCTCCGAGGAGGATCGACAGTCGTTCCGTCTTATGTTCTGAAAGGGCTCATGTGCGGACAGGGCGGGTTTCAAAGAATCTAAGGAAGGGTATTCTCAAAGCGGCAAATGGCCATGCCTCCCTGGAGTGTCTGGATGTCATGAGCTTCCTGGACCGAGATGCCGCCCGCGATGATTTGAGAAGGCTTTGGCTGGCTTAGAAACGCAGGTTGCGGCTTGTCAGTGTTCTTGCGGCTTCTTTCCGGTTTATTGCTTAGGTTTAAAAACTCTGCCATACTCTGCCCAACCTTGTGCACGGCATCCTCTACCATCCTCCGGTAAGCAAGGCACCCCGTAAATTCTTCAAATTGCCTCCGTTCACTGAGGTTTATGTTGCCCAGGCCATTGCCTCCAGACTGGAACTTGGAGCGCCAGTTGCGTTCAACGCCACATTGACTCATGAGGGGAAGGCCGTGGCAGCTCAACTGAAGTGAGGGACTGCTTTGGAAAGACTTGAGTCGGAGATTCTGTGAAGGTCCGCATGGAGGCGTGGTGCGTGACATAAGGGATCACCCCACTAGTCAGTTGAACTATGGGTTTTCCTGTCTTTGACACGCAACGACTTCTTGTGCAGGGTGGAACTACTGAGATTTTGAGTAGTTGAGGGACACTCAGCCATGAACCTGCACCTCAGAGATTGGCACGTGCAACGTTGCCCCTCAGCACCAGGGCCTAGGGTGCTTTTTGAATTGTCCACTTGACAAGAGATTGTCACACAAAGCTCCAACACCTTTGCACAAAGGGATCCCAAGCTTGCTGAAGCGGAGAAGAGTGTGCGCAGTATGGAAAATTGCGCTCTTTGTTGAATAAGGTGCTCGAGGCTGAGCCGTGCGAAGAGCTATGGGAGCCCATTCCCGGAGATTGCTTCAGCCCCACCGCCGTGACAATGCCCGTCGGCCACTTGCCACGATGGTGTGGCACTAGTAGCATCGGGCCTCGTGGTCATGCCGAGAGCATCCGACTCAAGCCGGGTGTCCTCCTAAAACTCCCAATGCCTTGGCATGCCTTGGCAAGGCACAGGTGAACGTGGCATGGGACAAATCAAATCCTTCAATCCCAGCAACAACTACGGCTTCATCTCCAGTCATGAGGTGCATGCCTGGCCACTTGGAGATTGTGAGTCAAGGAATGCTCGTGCCGCATGCCCAGATAGGTGTATGTGATTGTATATGTAGATGGCCAAGGTATGGCTGCGATGTGTTCCTGCACGGTAGGGAGCTCTCGTCGAAAAACTTGAATGTGGGCGACATGGTCACATTTGAGGCCAGAAGAATTCCTTCTGCAAGCCGCTTCAATCATGCTGTAATCCACACGTGATTTTCGTGATTTTCGTTCGGTCCAGGTTGGATTGAATCCCGCTGGAAAGCCACAGGCTGTTAACGAGCCATGGCAGGTTGATGTGTGCATGTTCGCATAGCAACGAGGCGTCAAGGTTCCCTGAATCCGCGCATCACCAGTTTAGGTGCAGCCATACTCCCGCCCGGAAGAGGGAGGCCTCAGTGATCCGGCGGGCAGTCCGTGAGAAGAAGGTCTTGGATTAGGCGTGCGGCAGAACTTCAGACTTCAGCTTGGTGACGCGGCGGACAGCTGCAAAGCCACTGGCGCAGCGTGAGAATTTAAAACCCAAACGCGACGGAAGTCATGCAGTTATGATGGCATCTCCTGCGGGAGTTGCCCGACTCCGAGGCCGCCTGGTTGACACTGAAAAAGGATTTTAAGATGCACTCCATGACTCCATCCGGTAAGAAATCTTTGGGCTGCAACCAGCACACTACTACCATCCGCTCGTTGCCACTTGGGTGTAGAGCACCGCTTCGTCCCGAGGCTGGGGATGGCAACCTTGGAGCAGCGCCACGGTTAAGCTTCCAGGCACCCCAGGCCAGGCATGATATGCTTCTTGCCGCAGTGTAGACTCTTCCCCTTCATGTTTTTTGGAGCCTCAGGTACCAGATGCTTCATGCATCATATGCATCCGACCCAACCTTGGACCAGTTTGAGGATGTCTGCCTCTCCATGTAATGTGTCACGCATGGGGTTTGATGCTTCATATTAAAGTGTAGAGCGAGTAGACGATTAACAACGGAATATGGGGGAAACAAAGGTTTCATTTCGTATGAAAATAGATAGGACACGAGCTGAAATTTAGAGGAATAGCGACACGGGCTTCGCGGAAATACCGATTTGCTCGTCATTTGTGATTTGGAATGTGCACGGCGCCCAGGCGAGAAATACAAAACCTGAAACAACAAATCCCCCAAAACAGCAAATCATTGTTTAATTCTGCGTCCCTTAGACATGGCTAATGATTTAGCGACTCACGTTCAGTCGACCAGATGCTCAGATCCCGATGATCCCGTTTTACTGCCATGCGTGTCGCACGAGATCAAGAGTCTGGTTCAGCCCCGTCTCTTGGTCTGACTAGCCAATGACAAGTGCTTCGGTTGGAGGAGAATGCAATACTGATCAGACCTGATCAGAAGTGTAGATTCTAGAGATGTGTACAGCAGTTGCAGTTGATTTGTACTCACGGGTGTGCCTGCAGGCGTTCGCTCAGACTCGAAGCTTTGTTTGAGCACTGTTTGAGCATCCTTGCTCCAATATGGATGCAGTCTTTGATCCTGTTCTGTGCAGCAGCTTTTGGCAACAGGACGCATGCGGCATGCTGCCATCAAGTCGAGTCCCTGACGAGGTTTGTTTCGCAGGAGCTTGATGCTACAGCACATGTTCCCTGTGCTTGAAATTCTTCAGCAGCGAATCTACATGTCAGGACATGTGCAATGCCGTTTGCAAAGGGCTGATGTTTGGTCCAAGCATACGTGGAACGCGTAAAGGGCATTGAGCCTTTCCACCACCACTTCCCTCCGCCAGCCTTTGTACTCATGCTGGCAGTTTCGAGACGACAAGGGCGCTGCGCACTCCTCGTGCTTTTGGCAGTGTCTCTTCACAAGGCGGCCCAGGATTAAAACTAGGAAGCGGTATCGGGAGAATCGGGTCGCATCGGCCATAGTCGGCACTACCATTCCTATTTTTTGATTTGGGCGGGTAGCTTTCTGTGTGCGCGCGGGTGTGCGCGCGCGCGGGTGTGTGTGTGTGTGTGTGTGTGTGTGTGTGTGTGTGTGTGTGTGTGTGTGTGTGTGTGTGTTTGTTTGTTTGTTTGTTTGTTTTGTTTGTTTGTTTGTTTGTTTGTTTGTTTGTTTGTTTGGTTGGTTGGTTGGTTGGTTGTTTGTTTGTGTGTGCGTGCGTGCGTGCGTGCGTGCGTGCGTGCGTGCGTGCGTGTGTGTGTGTGTGTGTGTGTGTGTGTGTGTGTGTGTGTGTGTGTGTGTGTGTGTGTCTGTGTGTGTGTGTGTCTGTGCGTGTGGGTGTGTGCGAACTGTCCTGGCACAGACCTAGCACGTGGGCACATGACCTTAGCGAGGTTCTCGCCCGCAATCGTCCTGAAGCATGGTGCTTGTTTGCATGCTGCTTGTGCGTTTTTGGTTGAATATGGTCGAATATCTCAGAAACAGCAGCGGGCAGTGGCGCTTTCAGCAGCCCAAGAGCAACAACTGCTGTTCGGAGAGGATGTTACAGAGAGAATAAACCTGCAGAATGCCGGGCGGCAAGAGTTGAAGCGAAATCTAGGCTCCGGTCCTCAACAGCCGGGCAGTCTAGCTAGCGCTTTGAAATGTTAGCCGTGACTGACCGATCTTTCCGCTTCTGCAGGCCTTCCTGGTACCGAAAGATGGTGACATTTCGCGGGCTACGGCGCTGCGCTTTTTGCCAGTCCTGGCATTGGGAGGCTTTGCAGGTCCAAGTCATGCCGAAAAGGGAGTGACGACAGCTTGGAAAACCACGCCAGCAGGAGATGAAGATGAAATTCACACAGGTGGGGTCGAGTGGGAAGATGTCAAGGTTGGCACTGGCTCGACACCCCAGATCGGTGACCAGATCGGCATACAGTATCAAATCAAGGCGTTCGTGCGCGAGAGGGAGATCACTGTCGAAGACACAAAGGGCAAAGCAAGAGATTTCAGGTTTGGAACTGGGCAGATGCTTCCGGGCATGGATGAGGGCATCCGCGGCATGAAGACAGGAGGTGTTCGAAAGATGCGGATTCCTGGCAACCTTGCTTTTGGGGAGAAGGGCCTGCCATCTGCGCCAGGTCGTGCGGCCTTGCCACCATACTCACCTGTGGAAGCCACAGTGACCTTGGACTTTATCCCCGGTTCCGATGCCGTTTATGACTATGGCGAGAGCGATGTTTGAGCATCACCCGACCTGAGCACTCCTTTGAACAGTCTCCCTACATTTCCGCTAATAGATTCTTCATCGACTCGGCGCCACCAAGTCGCATCACTAAAAATGTCTGCTCTCTGCTCTCTGTCCGAGTGAAGCGTTGCCCACTGAGTCTGATGCTGGGGGGTGCAGCTGATTCTGCTTGTTTGACTGATGTGTGTTAGGAGCTCATGGTCGAAGAGGTCGAGCGGGTTGCTGAGCGGTTCTTGGCATTACTTGCATCTGGCAATGCTCATGGCTTGTGACGATCGCATGATATTTGTCTCATGTCTTGCACGTTGACACTTTCCTGCGGTTTCATCGCCGCAGCTTTCGTTTCAGACTATTGGGCAGTCTGCAGCTAGCTTGATGCTGTGATGCTGTTTCACAATTAGCAATGTCCGCGCCCGGCGTGGGCGGGGCTCCGCGAGTAGTCAGCTTCCAGCAGCATCAGCTGCCTGTACAGCAAGCACCCGTCGCCAAAGCAGCAGTCCACGTCCTGCCCGGTGCCTCACAGACACTTAGAGCAGTGCAGACGGTTCAGACACCTTTTCCGAACACTTCTCCGTGTCACCCACAGGTGGCACCTGTGCCGCAGGCCTTGGAGGCCAGGCGGTTGGTGGCAAGAGTCGGAGAGACGTCCGTGCCATCACCGGCCGCACCCGGCGCTTGCGCTAGCAGCGCCAGCAAGTCCGCTGCAGCTGCGCGTACATTACGCTTTGCCGACGAAGTTCCGAATCAGTTCCAAGCTCAGGAACCTCATGAAAATCCTCTGCTGCTCCAAATCCAGCGAGCGGCTCCAAAATCGGTGCTCCGACGGACACATCCGGGCCCTCATGGCCAAGCAGTTGCAGAGTCTGTTGCGCCCAACAGCGCGCCCTACGCTGGTGCCCCAAGTGCTTGCACAGCGCTAGCATGCAGATCCGGTGGATGCAGTCGCAGTGTGGACGCACACAGCCAGCCCAAGCCAAATGGGATGGCCTCAGCTTCCTCGAGACGACGACCTTTGCCTGAGCCAGATCTATTGGTTGTCAAATTCCTGTATTTATCCCGATTGCCGGCAGGAAGTTGGATGCAGAACCCTGCACAGTACCAGCTCAGCCTTCATGTTGGCGAGGAAGCCCGGAGTGATCCTCCCGATCGGCCGGGCCCATTCTCTACTCCTTTTGTGCACCTTTCCTTAGTTCAGAGCTGCGGTCCGAAGAGTTGCGCTGGAGAGTTCCGGAGTGTGGCTGCGTGTGATTGCTAGTCAAGCAAGTGCCGTTGAATGGCTTGCGGTGCTCGACTCGGGAGGGTACCGTGATGGATGACGACGACGATGACGATGACGATGACGATGCGATGACGATGACGATGACGATGACGATGACGATGATGATGATGATGATGATGATGATGATGATGATGATGATGATGATGATGATGATGCATGTAAATCCCGAGTTTACCCACTCGCATGGAAGCACCCTGAATCAGGCAACTCAGGGCCCCCGACGTCTTAAGTCGCAGAGCAGCTGTCAACAAATGTGGCACTGTAGTTTGTATGACCCCAGATGGGGGCCGATGTCTTGTGCAGATGCTCTCACGTGCCAAGGCAGGCTGGGCCACCACATCTGGTGCCACCAGAGGAGGCACAGCTGAAGCAAAGGATTGCCTCAGCTGTTGAGGCCATGGAGGGAGGGCATGCTGGTCCTGCTGGTCCACCTGGTCCTCGCACTTCAGGGAATACAGAATGCAGGTTCAAGGCTCGTGTCTCCGTGCGACTTAGTGAAGCTGGGCCTGGGCCAGCAGCAGGTGGTCCAGTTTACTTCCGGGTAGACGCCTGGTCACTCTGCACAAGCCTGTTCGGAAGGCCGTCTCACCCGGAGCTTTTTGCAAGGGCCTTCGTGCCCATAAATGAGAGCAAGTATCACAGAAGAGCTTGCACATGGCCAATGATCGATGCTGCGGGCAACGACGTGGCCTACCTCACCTGTGAGTTTTCCTTCGCGCGAATTCCTTCTCCAGTTCAGGATTTACATGTGGACAGTGTCATGGCGACGGATGTGAAACTGGCATGGTTGCCTCCGCCCAATGAAGATCGCGTCGTCCCGCTGAAGGGGTATCGAGTCGATTCCCGACTCCTCGGTCGGGGCAAGCGGCCCGGAGGAAGCTCCAGCTGGCTACATGCTGGAGACATTGAAGCTCGAGAGCAAAGCTTTGTTGCTTCAGGTCTTAAGCCCGACAGTTTCTACGCCTTCCGCGTGTGCGCGGTCAACGAGGTCGGCCTCAGCGAGCCGGAGGAGCTGGAAATGCAAACCGGGCCATGTGCCCCGGCTGGCTGCGGCCAGCCACGGCTTGCTGGATGCAAGGGGCCTGTCTTGGCTGTGGAGTGGGATCCTCCAATGTATGATGGCGGTGCCAACTTAGTTGCCTACCGTCTCTGGGTTAGGCCATTCTCCGCTATCGACGCAGATCCAGAGGAATGGCTTGAGATAGGACATGTGAAGCACAACGCCAGCGGCGTGCAGCGTGCAGAAGTTCACACAGAGGACTTTGACCAGAGGATCGGCCGATACTTATCGAATTTGAGCGTAATGTGCTGTCTGGGTTGGGGGCGGTAGTTTATGTCAATGTAGGTGATGATAATGGTGCCCAGCCGAGTGTACTTGACAGGGCCACCTGCATCTCTCAGATGCCCCTGTGCCACAAGGATACCTGTGCAGAGTTGCTGCTATCAACGCGGCCGGCGAGGTTGGACCACCCACTCCTGACGCAGTGTCGCTGACCCTGCCGTCACTTGCCTCAAAGTGTAAACCTGGCAATGTGGCATGCAAGCTTTTGCTTTAAGTTCTACCATCCCAAAAAAACCTTTCTCATGAGCACCTGCCACCACGATTCTCTTGACTTCAGGAACCCATGTGCTGTCTCACGTCCAACGCCGGCGCCAAACTTGCCGCTGGCGCTGTCAGACGGACAAGGCTGCTTGATGCTGTTTGCATCCCTGCGCACCCCCCAGACCAACACCGACCTCCTGCAGCCGAGGCTCCTTTGGTGCCCACATGTGGTCCAATACTGGTGGCAACAGCCTTCTGACCATGACCATCAATGAGCAGCTGGGCATGATGCAGTAGTAATTATGCAAATCATGGGTCATTAGGACGACCTAACATGGACTCTCTGCTTTCGTTTCTCTTTGGCTTCCCCGCCAAAGGCCGGGAAAGAGGAAGGTGACCGTTCCGATCTTCCAGGACGGCCTGTGCGGTCTGCCAAGACAGTAAGTTCGCGAACTTACGCAACCTGTAGCTCGATATTGCTGGGAAGTGGAGATGCAGGATGGCATGTCTGCAATGGACTTGCCACTGGGCTATTTTGGACATGCTGATGGAGCCGGACAAAGTTCGCTGACTTCTGCGGCCCAGGTTGCAATAGTCTCGAACCCTCTGACAACACATGAGTTTCAATGTGCACCTGCCCGAAAGAATGGGTTCAGCTTGACAAGCCGGGGTGACCGATTCCCACGAATGAAACGTCATCATACACCTAGGAGCAGGCGTCCGCGAACGGAGCAGGTCATGATCTGGCACTACCAGAGTGCTTGGATGTGGCTGGACATGTAATTCAGGACTAGAATATGCTGTCCCACCTCGTCACTTCCTCTTGACATTGTCCCACAAAACAGCTCGCTGGCCACCAGGCTATGAATTCAGGCTGGCCGCTGCCTTCCGATCTGGAGTCACGACACTGGTACCACGAGGATGCCTTCGGCTCCGATCCGCTGGGCTTGCAGGCCTGGAAACTTGAACACTTCCCACAAAGAAGTTTGCATCTGTGTGCGCATGCCCTGAGAGAGACGGGCGAGAAAAACAAAGGCTGGCCTGAATTGGTATTCTCCCATGTGACTCATCCCTTGATATGCTATACATGCTACATATGCTGCCGAGTCATGCCCCGCTTTCATAAGACGCATCATGCTTCGCATTATGCTTATCTAATTGAGCGACTCGCAGTGGCTGAGCGCTCAGCGCTCTGGCAAGCGACACCTGGGACCCGCTGGGACCGTCCCTGAACCAGCGATCCAGACCAGAGAGAGAGGGCACCACGACAAACATCTTCTGCGTCAGCCAATCGGGTCTTGCGAGAGCGCTCAAATCCCAGATCCATTCAACTCTGAACCCAGGGCCTAGGGGATCTGCGGCACGTGCCCAAAACCAGTTTTCGACCCTCAAGCTCTCAAACAGGATTTGGGCAGGGAACAGTCCGCTCCCTGCCACGAGGCGTCCGTTTTCGGGGTGCTTGTCCACCTCTCTGCCTATCCTCTGGGTCTCTTTTCCTGCTGGGACAGATTCGGCTCTTATCCTCCCGGCACCAGCTCCTTCCCCCCTCTCCCACAAAAGACAGATATGGCTTGAGGTCCGAAACTGATTTTTGCGTGAGCTTGGCCTCCACGTTCTTTTTTGTTCTCCTTTGCTTCCCAACAAAGGGACAGGCAACGTTTTCAAAAGCAGCTGCTCCCGCTCCACCCCGTCTCTCCTCTGCAACTGTTTTGTCGTGAGGTTGGCCTCCATGTTCTTTGCTATCCGCAAGGGGAAGGGTTCAGAAGTAGTTCCTTTGCATCTCTTCCTCCCACTCCGAAGCTGGCTTGTATGGCTTGTCGTTCAACTGGCCTCCCATTTCCATCCACATGTGTGCTCCCTCTCCCACTCCCTCTCCCTCCCCCTCCCTAACCAAACCTGCCACATGGAAAATTTGTGTCGGAGACGAAACTTGAATTAGCTCGCGGGAGGAGGGGGAAGCCGCTGTTGCCACTGAATAGAACTTTTGTCGCAGCAGCGGCACGGTCTTTGATCTAGAGTAATTAGTCAAGTCCTTAGCAGTACCTGCGGGTCCTCAAAGGTATCAAGGTTCAAGCGTGACGCAGCGATGTGGTCGCACAGGACCCGCTCTCACAACGAGCTGTGGTACCCTACAAAGCAGAGGCAGCTTGAGCTTGGACTTGCTTCGGGCTTCGGATTTCACAGTGCCGGGCTGAACTCAGATCATGTTTGCCCACGACCGCACTTCTGCAAGCCCTGATGAACATTTTGGCCACTCGCTTGTTGTTTCACGTTGTGATTGCGCGTGGAGTTACGAGAAGGACTGCGCAAAAGACCTCTGAAGGAAACCCCCCTGCAGTACAGCTCAAGTTCCTGAAAGGCCTCGTTGCACGCCACTTTCTATACCTCCCCGACGAAATACATCCAGGCCCTCCATTTTTTTTTGGATTGGGTGGGAACGCGTAGCACGCTGCTCTGTGGATCAGTGACAGCGCAGTTCTCTTTCTCCCAGGCGGCGCTTGCAAGACGTGCGTTTGGAATTCTCTAGGGGCGCCGGAGTCTCTGGGGCCCGACCCAGTGCTGGGTCCCAGCGCCCTTTCTTCGTTTGTGAAGACTTGCATGCGAAATAGCTTTGGAACCCGACACAGCGCCGACGCCGGACCAGGTGCACAGTGTCAGACTGGCTCGTGCAGTCGTCACATCGTTATTACTCGTAGCTGGTATATTATATTATATATATATACATCTTTTGTATTTATGTATTTATGATATATGTGTTTTTTGATTCACGCAGACCCAGAGACGGGCCGTAGCAGATCGGGTCCTGCAGCAGCTCGCAAAAGAAGTGCCGTACTCGTCACGAACCCACTCCACGCAGAATTGGGGCAAGGATTCCAGAGAGCGCGCGTCCTCATTACACCCCCAAGAAAGAAGACAATCTGCCGAATAGGGATGAATGAACCAAAGGCCAGGGGTTGCAGATTAGAGCCTGCTGATGGGGAGCGTGCGGAGGGTCCAACTCAGTCAGTGTCAGAGGCCACGCCGCACCCCCTGGAGAAGTTTCACGCCGACCGGAACCATCAGGCGGGCCCGTGGGGGTACTGGGACACCCTCAGTGTTGTTTGAAAACTTGTCTCTTGATATCACAGACACGCTGACGAGGCGGAAGGGAACGTAACATGCCCGATGTGACTGTCCCGGATTGTCCCGGAAAATCAGTGTGCCGAAGGAACGGAGGGCCAGGGCCTGTACTCCACAAGGAAGGAGAATGGAAATGTCCGCCCCGCCTTCCGGTGTTTGCTTCCTGGAATGATGTACCGACTGCCGAATCTGAAGGGTGCTTCGTCGTGGGTCGGGTTTAAGCTCCTTCGACATCGAGGACATGTTTGTGCCTGGAGTTTTGGAGGGCTTTGCGCCTCCCTTTTTTCCGGCCTACCGCAAAGCCAAAGGATGCTAGAGAGGCCATGAGTATCACTGGCGTTGGGTGGGCTCCTCCCGTGGAGTTGTTTTTTCAAGAGTGGTTCTGATGGGGTGACTTGCCCTCAGCTCCTGAAAGGAGTTTTTTTTGCAAGCGCTCCCACTCGAGGAACCAATGCGCTTTGCTGTGTGGCGCTGCTGGGAACTGTTATTGTGTTCGTTGGGCCTTTGCGGCCCGCTTTGTGCTTGGCAAACGCGCCTCTGGCCCAACATTCTGGTCGTGGCATGGAAATCGGGGCTTGCTTGTTGCACCGTGTGCATCTGCAAAACTAGAATTCGGTGCAGTGCATCTTTTGCAACGTGTGAGTCGTTCGGAGCAGAACGAGGAAGCTATGGGAATTTCGCATGGGTGGCACAAGCTCTCATTGGATCCGCTGCACCGCATGAGATCATATATGATGTCGTTCATTGGGGACTGACAGAACCGTTGTTGGTCTGCCACTTTTCGAGAACCCTCTTGTTTCACCGACTCATCATGCAGCGACAGTTGCAGAACGTTCGTGTTGCCATCGCTTCCTCAGCCAAAGTTGCAAAAACTCACCATGACAGGCTGTTTCCAGGCTCAGTCATGGAAGAGAGGCTTTGGACCAGGACCGCCTGGTGCTTGCAAGTTGTGTACTCGAGGCTGTCCTCGTTTGATACTCTAGAAGTTGTGCCAGCGTTTGCACCGCCAGTCTTCGCGCCCAGATCCGGGCAGGAGCTGTTGCAGACTGTGCTAGATGAGAAGCGGGCTTTACTGGATGCCAGCCTGTTCCTCTGCAGCACAAGCAATGGACAGACGAGAACTTCATCGTGCAAGATGGCGATCAGACAGTACGTGTGCAGTGAGTGCGTGCGTGTGCGTGCGTGTGAGTGTCTCGCTGTGGGTCTCTGCGCTTCTCTGTGACACCGTGTGTCTGTTTTGTGTGTGTCTGTTTTGTGTCAGTGTCAGTGTGTGTGTGTGTGTGTGCCTGTGTGTCTGTGTGTCTGTGAGTGGGTGTGTGAGTGGGTGCGGGTGTGCGTGTGGCATCATTTGGCCCAAACTTGCGACGTCCAGGCAGACTTTCCAGCAGCTTTCGGAGCAGCTTAGTCGAAGCCCGGAGAGTGAGACACTGCGCCAGCGGCAAGAGGAGTCCGAGATGCTAAGCCGCAATTTCTTTCATGTTCTGCGTCCGACTGCGAAACGGCCAACCAATCGCATGCCGGAATTTGCTGAGGATTGAGGCCGCCGGCCTTCAAGCAGAGATCGCCGTCACTTCTTCGCATGTGAGGACATGGAACCGCATGGTGAAACTTTATTTGGGATGATCCGAGCACCTGTTTAATTGGGGCTCCCCCCCCCACCCCCACCCACCGCAATAAGAAAGGCAGGGCGCCGCAATAATCGGACAATGGCAATGTATTGATTCTCTATTAAGAACCATAGGAATGTATTGAAAACAATAGGGCTCCCCCCCAGGGCCTTCCACAATTGTGGTCCGCTGTTTTGTCCGGGCAGAGCCCATAAGGGGTAGCTCAGGAAAGAATGAAAACTCCTCTCCAGTAAGCAATCACATAAGAACTCCTAGCTTTCTGAAGTACCTCAGCTTCTAGAAAAATACAGCTTCAGCTTCTTGAAAAGCTTTTACTTTTAAGATGTGTAGTTTCACCGAAGCAAGCTGCGGCTCACAAAGAAAAACGAAAGCCGACAGATTTTTTACACCCCCTCCCGAGAAAAAGCTCTTTGAATGTGGTGGTATTGGCCCATACGAAAACCCCCATAATGGAAAGTAGTCTTTCGGCGGGCTTCTCGACGAAAGAAAACCTTGAAATGTGGAGGTATTAATTAAACAGGTGCTCGGACTAAATTCAAAAGGTGTGGCAAGTTTGCGAAACTGAATTGGTCGAGGTCTTGTCTCAGAAACTCAGCGAACTGGAGTCGATGACCGCGACTCACCTGCATCGAGTTGCCGAGGTGGAACACTGGGTGGAAAATCGCATGCGTAAGTTTGGAGGGATTCTTGGCGCTGCGCAGCTGGCTAACATGTAAATCTGTTTGCAGCAAATCGCAGATAAGCGTTGTGGTTGTTCCTGTCACTCCCCACCCTCTTGCCCCCCTCTCTGGCCTCCTTCCTTTCCTGTTAGCAAGTGGTTGGTCTTTTGGGGTACTGCGCCTCTAGGTTTCCAGCTTCCCGTGTCTTCTGTACCTTGTGACATCTTGTGACCTCATATTGCACCCTTAAGGCAATGCACTGGTCTTCTGTTGAAGACAGAGGTGTCTTGCAGATTTGTTTAAACGATCTCGTTTCTGTCGGATCTGGTGGCTGATGTGGCAGGCATCTCTCATGTAGCCACGGGTTGCGGATACTGAAGTCATTGGGTTTAAGAGGCTCAGGATAGACCGTGCACAAGCATGTCAGCACATCTGCCATTAAGGCCTGCATTCAAAGCGTCTTGCCACTCGTGACATTGGAGTTTGTGAAACCAAGGTGCGACCGTACAATACGGGCAACGATGATTTATACAGCTTGCTGCATGGAGGATCGCTCCCTTCCAGCGTCAACACGTGAAAAGAAAGTCCGGGAGCCAGAGCGCGCATTGCCGTTAGATCCCTTAGCTGCGTGGCGGATTTGCCCGATCACCATACTCCGGCAAAACTTCCAATTCGGGGCTACGAAGAGTGCACTGATAAGAAGGGATACCTAACTCGGCTTCGAGCATACAGGTGCAGCATGATCGGATTCTTTCTAACTGCTCCAAATCCTTTTCCAAGGCAACGAGGCGACTCAAGTTCCAGAACAGACCAGAAATCCGGGTGCTCAAGGCCAGCAGATCAAAAGATTTGGTTGCCTGTGCCTTTGAACAAGCAAGACAATGGTGACTGCAGCTCTGCCCTGAGGTTTCTGTGATGACGAAGCCTCGGACAGGCGGGGGCATGGGATGTACAATATGGATGCCATTTGGCCGAGGGAATGACTTAGTGAGAGCCACTGAAGCGATGCCAAAGCTTTCGTTGCCTTGGTGGGAGGTGGTAGCGTTAACCAGAATGAAGCATAGAAAGAGTTGCGTGGTCGCATGTGCTGGCTGCTGGATGGCCTTTCCACATCTTGCACGTCGGTGCACACCATAACACCATACTTCGCAGCAGAGTGCAAGAAGGAACGCTCTGCAAATAAAGCATCGCTTGCCCACAGTGGCCCGAAGCGACCTGTCAGGCTCCATGGTTCTTGTGAAGCTGTGCCTCATGGAGAAGGGCCGAGAAGAATTGTCCGATCAAAATGACTTGGGAGGGGCCTGCGCATTCGACCCTGCTTGCCACTGCTTGCCACAAGAAGCCCAAGCTTTCTGCTCAACCCATGCAGGTCACCTTCCGCAGCTTTCTCGCACCAGGAAACCCAGAATCTAGAGGGTAGAAAACGGGCCATGGCAGAGGCCGATCTGGCAGCAAGAGCCCGGGGAGCTGTGGTTGGATGCTTGGTAGCTGACGCAGCGGCAACCCCATGCCATTGGTGCTATGATCCCACGAAGCTTGCAGAGCACCTAAAGACAGCTCGCCGCGGCCCAGCCTTTTGCGATCCACCAGGGAACGTTTTCTACACGCCTCCACCTGGTGGCTTCAGCTGCTATGGCGATCAGACCATGGCACTGCTCGAGTCCCTAGTTGCCTGCGACGGAAAGCTGGACGTGAAGGACTACGCCGCTCGACTGGAAAGCAAATTTGGCAAAGCCAGTGCTTACGAGGTGGAGGCCGTGGATCCAGAGAATTGGCCGGAGCTCAAGACGAACCCGACCGATGCAGATGGCAACGTGATTGAGGCCGAAAGGAAGTGGGGCATGCCGCTGCCAGGGCCGTGGCGCCACGGCTCCGTCAAGGGCTTCCTCAAGAAGTATGTCGTTGAAAAGCAGTTCCCGAAGTGTGGCTCCGCAGACATGCAGGTGCGGCACCTGAGGAAAACACAATGTTACAATCCTGTGTCAGCTGGCTAGCACAGTGCTTAGCACAGTTACGCAATTGCTTAGCCATTTTGATTGCACCCGGGCGGCAGCATCACAGTCTAAGTGTTTCAGGGAGTCCGAACACCCAGAGATTTTCGGAACTGTTCGCACAATGCCCCCTACGAATGCTCAAAGTATGCCCGATCTGCACCGGCACAAAACCGGCACAAAAGTGCGGACACGCCCCTTTCGAGCCTTTCGAGCTGCTCGGCTCCCTGCCTGCCTCGTCCAACTCCGCACGACACATGCGATAGTTGTCGATAGCTTTATACGGCACTCACAACGACCCCTAGCTGATGGCAAAGTGTCCGATGACATGTGGTGAGCAACAATGGCACAGCCGCCAACTATTTCAAGTGCACGCAAAGTGCACGTAAATGACCTGAAGGACGTCAATTCACAAGCCAAACGACTTAAAGGCTTCGCTAAAGGCCCTGGGCAAAAGCTGCACAAACCACCTTTGATCACGTGCATGTTCTCATGCCTTCAACATTGGCAAAGTTCTAAAGGGTTCCGTGGCGCGCCATTACGCAGAGAATGCTGGAAGTGCAAAAGATCGAAGTTTGCATTGAAAGGCCAGCAAGCAAGCAATCAGAATGCGTGTCTTCGTTTACCTGCTCAGGTGGATGGGTGCTGCAAGGTGGCTCCACTGGTCGCACTCTTGGCTGGGCAGCCCAGCCTTTTGCCTAGCGTGGATCTGGCCATCCGCGTCGTGCAGAACACCGACAAAGCTGCCGCGTTCGCGTGTGGCTTCGCACGCGTGCTTGAAAAGCTAGTGCTAGGCACGCCAACAATAAAGGAGGCAATCTCGGCCGCCCAGGCAGACCTTTCAAATCCGGATCGTGCCTTCAGAACAACTCTCGATGATGAAGTGGCCATCAGTCTCGGCCGAGTGATCGGAGAGTTTGCTGATCAACCACAAGCAGAGGTGGGCATGAAGCTGAAGCCTGAATCTCACCCATTTCCCTTTATTGGCCTTTCCTGAACTTTACCTTTTGCGCTGATTATGCCACTACACTGTGCGCAAGCACACTCTGGGTACTCTGCAGCTGTGGAGGCCAGCATTGCTACTGGAGGCTGTACTGTAAGCCGAGCAACCCTTGCTGGTGCATGCTTTGGCTCACTGGGCACAGAATCTACGATTCCTGCCGAGTGGCTTGCAAGCACGAGTCAGGGAGCACGTCTGCAAGAACTAGCTAAATCCCTTGTGGCCTTGCGCGAGGTCGCCGCAGAAGCTGCAGCGCTGTATTGCAAGAAGTTTGCCGAAGGGTTTCCTTAATCTTCCGTTAAAGGCTGCTGTCAAGGTTCCAGCAAAAGCTTATGAATAGACTCACACTTTAGCGGTGCACAGCAGCATTTGGTGCAACGGGAGAACTTCCCCCCTTCCGCCCTTCGGCACTCCACTGTAGGGGCTCCTCTCGGCACTTTGAGCTTTCGAGGCGAACATGTGATGAGGAGATGCTTGGAAAGTGCCCATCAGTCACTCCAGGCTCAACCTTTGAGACTTCGCAATCGGGCTCTGCCGGGAGTTCCCCAATCCCTGGAGCGGGAAGGGAAAAAGATGAAAAACGCTTCCGAGCCACGCGCCTGCTGCATGATGGTGAAGAGAACATGTGTGCTCATTATGCGGACCTCCTGTGCAGAGTCGCCCCCCGCAGGTGGTTTGTTTCAGGCGCCGGCTCGAGACCAGTAGAAAAGTACCGGTTTTCGCAAAAGCACCCGGTTTCGTGGTATCAGTTTGCTTTGGTTTTGCTGACTGTTTGCAGTGTACAATGCATCCTACCTAAGTGAGGGAACCAAGTTCAGAGCTGACACTGGACCAGCCGTTAAAGGAATCATGAGTGGCCTGGACAACTTTGAGTGTGGCGCGGCTTGTTCAGCGCGACTCCTGCAGTACCGCACTTACAACACATCACGGAATGGTCTCCAATATGTCCAGTTCTAGTGTGTTCTCAGGCCACCACAAGCTGAAGAGAGAGATTGGAGACTTTGGGCAGGCCCTTTCCTACTCCGTAGAACCACGCAGCACGAGATGGTGCTCCCTCTGACCAAGGATCCAGCAACATCATTGTTAGCAAGCGTTTGTGACCTTTTAGCCTTGCACGATAGGTTGCGGCTCCGCCTAGTCTGCTCTGTTTGCCATTCAGGGTGCGACCCCATCAAAGGGCCTAGCATGGCCTCTTTTGCAAAAGGTCGCGAAGAGGATTTTTCCCATCAGCTGCGTAGGAGGTATGGCTGCGTTGCGAGGGTGCTTTCTGAGGCTTTCTTCATTATCGGCAGCACTGATTGCTAGAAGGGCCAGCGTGCACCTTGTGGTTTGAGTTTGTGTGCCGGTTGCTTCAAGGATAGAGTTACGAGCTCAGCAAATAGCGTGCTTGGTGTGCAGGTGCTGACCCCGACCTCATCTGCAAAGCGCTTACCTCCCGAGTTGCGCTGCGCAAGCAAGAAGCAGTAAGCAGTTGGGCGTACCCGGCAGTGCAGCGTGAGCAGTATTTGCCATGACTTTTGTGTAGCCAGGAGTCAGGCTCAAACATGGATAAGAGCAGGGTACCGGTCTGAGGGTCGGTCGATGTCGCATCACCAGTTTCAAGCATCTCAGGCAGGCCCAGCGAAGGGATGCGAAGGGGTCATGTGCTGTGCAGGGGCTGTGCATGTGCTCGAGTCCTCTACTGAAGAAACTCGACAGGATCAGCAGGCCATGACCTCGCAGTTCCAGCGAGAGCGTATCACATCGGAGTTCTTGAGCTTTGTCTTGGATTGGCGTGGCTCTGTGTAGCGGATTGTTTTCAGCGAGGGAGAATAGGAATCTGATTCTCGCATTTGCGCAAGGAATTTGACGTTCACAGCGGCTAGCTACGAGATCAACTTTGATCAGCTGTCAGAAGGAGAGGAGGAAGATGAATTCACAGGCACATGGCCTTGCTTGATGGGGTTGCCCCGCAACTACTACTTGCAAGGCTTGAAATACCCCAAATGCCGTTGCAGGTAAGTTTCGCGTACGCAGCCGCTCGCTGCCCGCACGCGTTTCTCGGGAGGCTGAAATCCTGAGCAGCTGACGAGACAAGCATCATCAGTCGCCATATGTCGCCATCGGCAGGAATCCAACTCATCAAAGCGATCGTCCAGTATCGGTGATCGTTATGCCTCAGCGCGCCGAAGTAGTATCTTGGAGCATATTGGAGTGTGTAGGACAATATGGGAACTGAAAGCTTAGTGCAGTGCGTGTTGTCCTTGAGCCGGGAGTTCGACATTCCACAAGCTTGGCTGCTAGGTGCAAGGGGATCTGCTTCAACACTGCCTGATCATGAAGTCTACGACGACGTGCTCAGGCCAAAACAACACTCACCCCTCCAAGAATCGGAGTCTGCACGGGCCCCTGTCGCAGGCGGCCGTCGGCTGGCGAAGGCAGCCAAGTTCTGTCACCTGTCGCGTGCACGATCACTGATCATAGTGTGCAACTCCAGTTGGTCAGCAGCATCTTCTGTTTTTCCGCGTGTCCCGCAAAAGCACTTCAAGAAAGCAACACGACACGAGAGAATCAATGTCAGCACGTGGCAAGCCGATTGCCAGAAGTGGTGGGTGGCGCGTGGCTCGGCCGTGGCTCTCGGTCCCGTTGGACCGGACCTGCCTGGTTTCGAGCTGGTTGTTCAATGTTGTTTACATCTCGAAAAGCCAGGTCGTTTGTGTTTTGCTTTCTGCTTTTGTCAGTATCTTGCTGCCCTTCATCGCCTTTGGCTTCTTGCTTTTGCCTTGTTTTTTTCTTTTTGTTTTGCTTATTGTCTTGCCGTTCTATTTTTGTTTCTTTTTGTGTCTCCTATGGCACTATGGCCTTTCATTTAGTTTCGCTTCTCGTCTTTGTCTTTGCAGTTTCTGGTTTTGCGTCTTGCCTTTTGCTTTGTTGCTTTTGCCTGTCTCATACTGCCTTTCATTGCCTTTGGCTTCTTTCCTTTCGCTTTTCGTCGTTTCTTGTTTTTGCTTGTGCTTCTTGTGTTTGATCTTTTGGCCTTTCATTGTATTTGACCGTGTGTTTTCCTTCCTTGCTTGTCCTCTTGTTGTATTGTGGTTGTAATGTCTTTCAGTGCCTTTGGCTTCTTTGTGTTCATTGTTGTTGCTTTTCGCTTCTCGCGTCGTGCCGCCATGTTTGGAAAGAATGAAAGAATGAACGAAAGGCAGAAGTATGGGACAGAAGGAGAGAAAGCAAGAACGACAGATACTGAACGACGAGAGAAAGAACGAACGCATTAGATGCATAAAGAAGGACAGAACGATAAACATAAAGACTGACAGAAAGAGCTGCAGGACAGAGCGAGAGATGTACAAGCATTGTGCGGGTGGGTGGGTGAGTGGGGACATCAGACACAACCGCAAGGAGCATGCCCCCCGTGTGGGAGGAAGTTGCTTTGTGCATTCCATTCGTTTTGTCGGAATCAACGACTTGAAGCCGTGTCCATCAACGCTTCGAGCAGACCGTTGCAGGAGGTTTCCAGCAAACCATAGAGAACATGTCATCAGTATTGAACAAGATGAGGCACAGCACCCATAACGATGCAAGAGTTCTGCCATCGATATGCTAACGCATGTCAGCAGCAAGGGCATGTCATCGCGACAGTGGACTGCCCACAATCGAGACATGTCAACATCGACAGGAACAACAATTCGTCATGTTATGCCACGTCTGTGTCTGTGTGTCCGCGTGCGTGTGGGTGTGCGTGTGCGTCTGCGTGTGCGTGCGTGTACACTCGGCCGCCCATCGCCGAGGCGTTCGTCAATCACAAAGTGACCAGTCTGACCTGCCCTTGGCGCAGGTGCAGACGTCCGCGCTTCGACTTCGACACCCCAGGTCCAGACCTTGTGCATGCGAAAGGGCAACAAACTCTTAGGAAGAAGCCTATGAAGCCTGTGTAGGCCATCTTGGATGTTTTTTGGGAAACAAAAGGGTTTGCGTCGGGGAGTACCTGCTCTTGTGACTTGATCTCAGGACAGAGCCCGGAACAGCCGCAAAGCCTCTTCACGGTGGCGCCCTCACATCTCGCCACGGCAGCTGGCAGAATCCTGGAATCCTGTTACGAACAGTTGTGACCCGTCACAGGAGCAACAGTACCAGCTTGCCAGGACAAGGCCGGCCCGTTTTTCAAATGATTTTAGACGATTTGCCATGCCATCTGAGGTGCTCGCACTGCTTCGCTACCGGGCAGGCGCGTCGCAGGGTTTGGCGCGTGTGGCATTCCTAAATCATCGCCTTGTGTGTGTGAGTGGTGTGTGTTTGCGTGTGGACGTGTGGGCTTTGAAGTGTGGCTCCTCCCCAAACTTGGTCGGCGCCTGCCAACACGAATGCAGGATGAGCTCAGCGAAGGCGCCGCAGGATCGCTCCATGCTCCATATAATGGGCTTTGAAGCATAATGACATACTGTCAGCTCCAGGTGCAGCGTGGCACATCGTGGCACCTTTCGCATGATTTTCCTATCCTTGTAAGCGAGGAGACGCTGTCCAGTGGGTGCTCACAGACGGAGGTTCGACGGCTTCAACGGTCAGTCGTTCACATTTCTGACCGCATGCCACTTTTGCCATTCAGTTTGTGTGCCTTATTGCAGGGTTCTGAGATCTGGGACAACAAAACTGAAGACTCACGCATGCTCTCCAAGTGCTCCAAGAAGGACCTGAAAGTCTGGACGTTCCGAGCATGGATCCATGCAGATAGATGTGCTCTGGCTGCCCGCAGGACACTTCCAAAGCGTTGCGGCCAGCTTTGAGGCATTACTGGGCATGCTTTTGATAAAATCACGCTTGGCAGGGAACTTGCTTGTCCCTTCAGGTCACATAGTGGCAGAGTTCTGCTGTGCTTCGGGGATTTCAGAGCGTGCTTGCACAGAGACTCTTGCTGTGTTGCTCGACAGGAGTGGCAATCGGAATGGCGAGTTCGTCATCATTGCAACTTGAGACCGAACTCTTGCACCGGCTCCCGCCAAAGGCTTCGGCCTCCCAAGGCCCCAGCTCCACAAACGTTGGCAAACTGAAGCCCTCTTGGGGCCGAGCGATGTTTTTGCTGCTCGCCTTGTTGGGATCTTCGAGTCGGGGATTAAAGAGGCACAAACGCAGCATGACGCCCGAAGGTTTGTCAGATGTTCAGCACATGCCTTCCTCTGCACATGCCTTCTGCTCTGGTCGCAGCTTCGTGTGCGCAGTTCGACCAAAGAAGCTTCACCCCGCTGCTTGCCAGCTGAAACCTCCAACTCCATCTGTGTCCTGCCATGTCCTGCCAAGGCTCCTCCGACGTACAAAGTGTTCACACATCCCTCATTGGGTTGGACGGTTCAGTACAATCAGCAAACAACTGTTTTCAAGAGCGCCAAACCCATTGCGAGCTCGTGCTCGTCGTTTTTTACGGGAATCGAGCGTTCTGAAGCAAGTTATGAAGAAGACAAGGCAAATCACTTGTACCTCACGGAATGGTACGGGAGGTCGCCCGAAGCATTCATGTCGCAGGCCTCCTTCCATATTGACTAGCCACAAATTGCCTACGTCCTCGAGCTTCATACACACAGCATGCCCGATCAAACTGTTAAGGGTCGAAGAAAAGGTCAACTTTTTCAGAAAACGTATCTGCCGCGTTCTTCGGCGCATCGAAAAGACTAGCATTGCATGGCAGAGGAACCGGTCGGTGACAGTCCACATCCTGAAGAGAGGAAACAGAAAATCAGCCAGTGCAGAAGTCGACTCCGAGGAAACCCAGGAGCTCGCACTGGAGACTGCACGTCTTTTGGTTCGACACGCTGGACGAATCAAACTGTTTGGATACCAGGTGAATGAAACCACAACGTTGCAACTGCTGAGGGCAATACAAGAAGTTTTTTCAGGCAGATCAAAACTGTGAAGCCTTTTGGGTCGGGCTTTGCATCCGGGTATGTGGTGGATGTGAAGCTAATTAAAAGGTTGCCCGCATAGCGAACAAAGGTTGTTTACCACCTTGCGGGACCTCTAGCTGGCACGTGCATGAGAATTAGCCCAAGCAGCCATGATTTGAAGGGTCCAAAGTATCTTCGAAGCATTCGCCGCAAGTCTGGGCCAGGAATACTCCCAAAGCTGAAGAATTGAATAGAAGGTACTGCAGCAATTCAAAGCCGGTCCTTCAGAAAGCAAACCAAGCTTCCCTTGCTGGTCGCCTTCCTGAACAAATCTACCGTGCTGCCATTTACCGCCTAATGTAGAAAGACAACCTTCCTGCTCATGCAATCCTCTTTGATGTTGTGGATGGTGCGTAAATCGTCCTTGCGAATGACACTCAGGATGAAAGTCCAAGCTCTGCAAATGCCTTGCCCGTGACACGGCTGGTTCTTTTCCTCCAATTCTTCACGAAAGAAGGAAGACATGGCGACGGCAAGAACCACGCAGTCTCATCAAGATAACATCACGAGAGCAGCATGGAGTCCGAAAACAACGCGCCCGTCTGCAGGCAAAGACCACTGCGGCAAGCTGCTCATGGTAGATTGTCAGCCTTACGACATCTTCCGACTCAGCCTAAAGCAGTTGCCCTGTCAAGAAAAACTGACATCTTCTTCTTTAAACTTCAGCAAGCATCAGTGTGCTCTGTGCTCCTACCTCGGGAAGATCCTTCTCAAATTGTGCGCCAACATGTTGATCTTGGAAGCAGCAGTGAAAACTTTGGGCCCGACAGCATGGACATGGGCCGGGCCTGCTGCTGACAGCCTGAAGGGATGCGGTTGCAATTAAGAAGGTGCGGGTTAATTCGCATCGGTGTCGTTCTCGCAAGCGTTCCAGCACAAGTTGAGGTCCTGTTCGAAAGACCTCAAGCCGGCTGTTGGTCTATCGCCAATAATTGCTCGAAAGGGGGACTTGATACCCTGGAATGGCATTCAATTTCATGTCTTTAACATCGCGCACTCATGCTCTATTTTATAAAGCGGGTCGTCCACCTAGGTAAACCCAGTCCCAAAAAGCACCTCAATAACTCATGATGCCACGTGTGCGCGTGTGCGTGCGCATCATGAGCACATCTGGCAATGACGCGTGTGCTTACGAGGCTTGGCCATTCCCTCTGCACGGTAGTGCATCAACGGCTTGACTTGTTTGGCTGAACCGGCCTTTCTGTATCCTTTTTCTGGATCTCCAGCTTTTGGCCTTCTTTGTCTTCGTTTCAAAAACCCTCTAATTAGCCTTTTCCTAAGTCTCGTGCTTCGGCATTCCGGGACTTTGGGGAGGCGGGTGAAGCGGGGGGCCTCTGCGAAGAATCGAGCATAGAGCGCAGGCTCCGTCCCGAGCCATCTCGGTCCACTTCAGTTTCACATGAAGTAACTCTGGCAGTTCAACCGCACCAAGAGCAGTCGCCACAAACATATGCAACGCTTGTGCAACAAGATCCCGGCTCAGGTACAGCCTCTGACAGTACGAGGGCTCACAGAAGAGAGTCCACAAGTTGAAGTCCGCACCTGGGGCCCACAGACTGGAGGGGGTCCTGTGAGTCACGGCAGCATCGTTTGGGCCCACGGCCAGACCTTGAAGGTCCTCACTGCCCCTGGGGAGTCCGAGATGCACTTTGAAGTCTGCAGGGCAGACGGTCGCGGAGTTTGCACACCGCAAGGGTCAATACACGCAACTGCTTTGCTTGATGAAGATTTCAAAGAGGGGAAGAAAGTGGAGTGCGAGCTCCTGGTTGAAGATGGCTTTGTGCCGCCTGGTGCATGCCTTGTCGCGGACTTTATCAAGACCAGACAGCCTGCTCAGCATGGCAGTTGCAAAAAAGGTGGTCTCACGTGGGCTCCGCACGTGGAAGAGACTCGACAATTCACAGGAGATCGAGGTGCTCGTCGCAACACACCATTTCTTCCTGCGAACCCTTCAGCTCAGGAGGAACGCTCTTCGACTCAAAGCAGGTGTTCTGATGAGTTGCGGCCTCTCGGAAGCACGAGAAGATCCGCTGAAGGTGGTGTCGGACCAAGCGAGCTTGACGCAAACCGTCTTTCTCGACCCATCTCCATGCAGCTCGACTTGTCAGAGACACAGGGGACGTTCGCCAAGCCACTCAGCGAAGAGGTTCCGAGAGAATCACGAGCGCGCGTTTCCGGAGCCCAAGCAGTGGTGGATCCGCCGGCATCGAATGGCCCGGCGGCACCCGCAGCCCCTTGGGACGCAGTAAGCTCCAGCCAAGACGACCTGCATGACGAGGAGCCATCAAGACGCCGCAGCTCCAGCCAACGCTGGAGGGTGTTTCACGGCCAAGAGAAAGACAGCTGGAGGGACCCACTGCGATCTTCAAAGAGCCCTGCCCCACAGGATGCCAGCAGAACGTCGAAACTGAAGCAACACAGCAGCGCTGATGCCAGGCCCGTTGACCACAAGCCCGTTCAAATGCAAGTGGATGCTTCTGAGGGGAGCTTGTTTCGAGATGATGCTTTGGCCCCAACAAGAGTCAGTCAGCAGGGACCTGCAGGGGCCGTGGGATCACATCCTTGCCGAGAGTCTGGCTCAGTGGGTGCAGATGCCCGGCAATCAAGAGCCTCGAGGCTATCAGCTGCCGCCCCCACTCGACACACAAGCATGGTAATAGAAGCAGCCTCAGACCAAGGCAGTGCAGATATACCCACAGCTGGCTCTGAGAGGGCGAGTCAAACGTCCAGTAGGTCCAGCTATTTCTCTGCCGGCTCACGAGGCTCACAGTCATCGCACCCTTCTCGGACTCAAGGCCACATGCATGGCAGGCCAAGCGCTCACTCGTTCAGAGCATCTGAATCCAGGGGTAGCCGCTTGTCAAACCGTTCAAGCCGGTCGCAAGCCCAGACGCACCTTCAGCACTTCACTTGTCGCTACACTGAGCCCCAATCAGTCACGTTTAGTGGCTTGCGGCAGGAACCCTGCATCATAGATTCCAGATATGCAGAGGGACTTATGGGCAGGGACCGCACAACACTTCTCGTGCTACTTGAGCAGGCTGAGCATTCCGTGTCAGCAGTAAGGCGCCAAAAATCAGCAGCTGACGCCGCAACGATGCCCAGAGTGCTGGCACGCCTCAGCGCTGAGTTCGTGTTGCATGCTAGGCATGCGCGAGAGGTACGTGGAGGACAACTGCCAAACTTGCAGACCATATGTGAGGAACCTGTATTGCCGGTGGTTTTGCAACGACTCGTAGAGGTCTTGGACACCTTGGTGCCAGTGGAGGAAAGCACCACAGATGCGGAGCTAGCTTTTGCAGCCCCCGAGGTTTATGTTATGGGTGGTGAGGCCAGTGTGCAATACACCGAGTCGGTCCTGGAATCACTCCGGCAGGCATTTGGTCCCCACGGCTTTATTCCAGAGTGCATGTCATATTTGGGGAGGAGGCGGAGCTTTAAGAAGGAGCTTCAGGAGCGAAACCTGGAGAACTTCACCGACCAGATGGAAATTCTCACGCTTTTGGCTATTCGTCTAGCATTAGAGTGGGAAACGCCTGGTACCGTGCCCAGGCCCCTGGATATAGCCACACAGCAGGATGGCTTCCAAGCAGTGCTGGAAAGAATGGCTGAGCTCATGAAGAGGCTCAGATGTGGCAGTGGCAAGAAGACTGTGAGAGGAATTCTAGCACAACTGGCATTGGCTCTGGAGACATTGCTTAAGATGCTTCGATCGGACTCCGGCTTGGAGCTTCTCTGCGTTACTGGGTTCGGCACATCGCCGTGAGCTCAGCATCCGCCAGTTGGCACTCCTACATCTGTCACCGTCAGCCAGCCACCTGTAGCACTGTAGCTGCCATAGCTTGGGCAAGGGACCATCCAAATGAGCATCGCGGGGCGCTCAGAGCCTTGCAAGACCATGAGCAGCAATTAGGCGGATTGTGGATGAAACAAAGTGAATCCTGTGAATTAGACGTTTTGTGCTGCTTCCAGTGCAAGTTCGAACAACTTTGCGCTTGAAGAGGCGCTGTGATTGCAAGCTAAGGTGGAAGTGACACGAGCGCAGCTTCGCCTTTGGCTTTGCTAACTTTGGAATTGATTGAGATGCTTGTGGAGCATGCAGAAGCAGTGTCACGTCAGCAATTAAATGCGGCGCTTGTTGCTGATCTTTGCTTGTATCTGCCATTGCATTAGAGCTCTGATGAGAGCAGGTGCCGATCCACTCCCTACACATGATATTGCCAGCCGCTGCGCCTCGGACATATCATTTTTAAGTTTGCTTTTCGCACAGTGCAGCGTGCATGGTTTCAACATGTGGCAGCATCCATGTTTCGGAATCTATCCTCCAAGACTGCTGTACTCTGCCAAGAGCCTTCACACGACATCCTCCAAGCATGTTATGTTTCGCCGTGTCCTCTCTTGTGCTGTTTGCACCTTGTGGTGTCCACATTCTCAGACATTGCAAAGCATTTTCCTCTCTTGCCGTCCGACGTTTGCGTGCGATTCGGAGTGCCCGGCGCCTCTTCGCGAGAGCGACACGGGCATGTGGAATCGCCGACGGGCGTACTGTAATTACCCTGAATGTGCCTGTGACGATGAGACATTTGACTGGCTAAACCGTGCTGTTGACTTGGCCATACACCTGCAAAAGATGCCAGAACCAGCGAGCCTTTATCTCAAAGAAAAGTCGTGTCAGTTCGGCTGCAAATTGTTTGATGGCGCCTCAAGGTACCGGTTACAGCGACGTGATTGTGTTCGGTCGAAGTATAGGTCTTTGGTAGAGAGAGACAGAGAGAGATGAGACTTGGATATGGTTGCATGCATGCGGTGTGGTGCGAGGCTGCTAGGCGGGTGGCAACAAAATACTTTTCCGCGATAAACGCGCTGTTCTGCCTGCGTGCAGCACCAGTTGGCCACAACGCTTTCCTCAGTTCCTGCCGTCGTCCTTTTATTCAGCCACCCCATGCCAAGCTGTTGAGGTGCGTGTTCTCACGCTACTTCTAGACGCAGCGGCAGCAGACCTCTCTGGCGTCGCGGACATTACAGCTGCAGATATGCAACGGTTGTGTCAGGGATGTCATGGGGTCATGTAGGTAGAAATCTGAGCTCGCTTTCGTCTGACCGATTTCCATGTCCTCCAGGACCGACTTGCTCGAGCTCTTTGCCAAATCTTATCTCCTGACATGCTGACGACGTGCTTTGACTCATAAGTGCTTGCCAGCAAGCAAGTGACCACCCACAATCGCGAAATCTCTGTGGCAGCAACAGTCGTCACTGCACTCACTGTGACTCGGTGCCGAGGCGTTTGCTACTAGCTCTGGTGGACATGGCAGATGCCTCAGGGCGCGCTGCAAATCACGGGAAGCTTGATGATGAACCCATGAGGTGAAAACCCCATGCAAACCGCGCACCTGGTTTGGCAGCGTGCCTCGCTTGGACATCTCAAATTCGGAGCAACGCAGCTTCGCGGACCAAATGTGTGGCGAGGTCAACGATGCAGCGAACATGAGGCACACCCTGCCTATTGCCACCCCGCCTATTCCCAACTTCCTATTGCCAACTGCCTATTGCCACGGTTCATGCTTGGGCACCTCGTGTGTCAGAGGCTGCAGATCGTCCAACTCCCCTTGCGTTCATGTCTTTGCTACCGCAGGAAGCACCTGCGCGGCAGCTTTATCAGGATGCTTGCACTAGTGGGCGGTACACCCGCTTTTCACATCCGCTTTTCACATGCTCACACAGTAAGACTTGGAGAACCGCGGTTTAGTGCAGGAGCAAGATGCCGAGTCAAGTTGCCATCGCGGCAAAGGCCGGGCTCTCTTTTGACCATGCTGCCGAGATGTGATCGAAGAATCTCGAGAGGAAAAGCTGGAAAGCTTGTTGCAGTCGCCGGATTTGTGCGAAGTCCCGCTGCCTGGCACCAACATCCTTCAAGCTTTGAACCACTTGAACCTATGGGAACCCCGAACCTCTGGCCTGCCCGCCGCTCAGCCCACAACACGATGAGACTGCGTGGCTCTGCCGGCAAAAGCAATGATTGTGAGTTCCGCATGTACGAGATATGAATCGGAAGACTCAAGCCCTAGACTCTAGAACAAAAAAACCTGAATCTCCAAGAGGGCTGTCACCCTCAGCCGGCCACGCGCAGGCTCGAGATCGACTTTTCAAGAGAACAACTTCACAACAATCACAGCCCACACAACCAGAACAATCACAAACACAACCACGACCACGGACACCAGCAGCACAAAAAACATCTGTGGTGCGTCTAAGTTTGCACATGTTCAAGACAAGATGAAGGAAAGATGAGCAACTAGAGCAAAAGCGAAGCCACATGAAACGAAACAGCAACACAAACATCGACTGTACGATGAGGATAGCTAAAGCCTATCGGGGAGTACCCTGGTGCATTGTTATGAATCCGGGGAGCAGGCAAAGCATGTGAGGGCATTGGTAGAGTTACTGTACATTGTAGTTGCGGGTCCCCAGAATCCCCATCAACCCCAGAAAAAAAGGGGGCTAGGGCGGATAGGGTTCCAAGGTTTTTCCCCAATGGGGTGTTTTTAGGATTTTTTTATAGGGAAGAAAGCCACCACAACCAACCAAAACCACCAAAACCAGCCCAGGAGGTCCCCAAAGAATCTCTCAGGAGGGGGTCTACAGGGTTGGTGCGCAAAATGCCATCCCAGCACCATCGCAGAAGTCGCCCATTCGCTAAGTTTGTAGACCAGCGTGTGGCATGAACTGGTGCTCGGGTCCAGACCCGCCGGTCGAGCATCTGCTCATCCTACACCCGCCCGAGGCTTGCTGATGCTCGAGGCCCTGTAAGCAAAGCACTGACGAAACGAGCTCGGCAGGTGATAGCGGCTCAGCTGATGTCAAGTAGAGTCTGTGCCATTGATCATGGTGCTTGTAAATTCCCATGTGGCAAATGTCGTCCTGAGCCGCATCTGCCTGATGCACTCTGCCAAGGCAGCTGGCGCATTCTACGACGCAGTTGAGGAGCTTGTCTATGAGGCATGTCTGAGATCCCTGCTTTTAACTTGCAGTGAGCCAACACGAAAGCGCTTTTGACAAAACCACACACACACACACATGTGCGTTCTGCCCCCCCCCCCCCCTCCAAGTATCCCCCTCTACGGTCTCCCCTAAACTCTAAACCCTAAACCCTAAAACGCTAAACTAAACCCTAACGACCGGGGGGGGGGGGGAGCTCGTCGGGGCGCAACCATACACACATAAATACGTCATATGTCTTCTTCCTTTAAACGATGGCTTTACTTGGGACACTGCAGCATTTTTGCAGAGTTAGCTCATGCTCATTATTCTGTAGTCTCAACGACTGCTGAAGTCATATTCAGCTGCTAACCTTCAGAGAGATCCCAAGCCCAACTCTAAATTGTAAAGCTGAACTCTCAACCGGAAACCCTCCAAGACACGTGTTGAGCTACAGGCAAGATACCTGCACCAAAACGGCAAACAGAAAGGTAGGCACAGGGCCTGGGGTGGGGGGAACATGAATTTGAAAATGACCTGACGATATCGGAAAAATCACAGGATACCTGAAACAAGATTAAGCAAATTAAGCTGGCTAGCAGGTGGACTGGGGGGGCAGGGGGGGGGGGGGCACACACGAAAGACCAAAGGCTTTTCCGTCTGAACATCCAGGAAGCTATGTTATGACTTGTTTCAGGTCCACTTAAGTGAACACCGCGCCTCTCAATACGATCATGACACGACTGTCCTGTACTGAAACGTCGGATACTGATGCAACCTGCAGTCCTTTCATCTGCTAATAGTGACATTTGACCGAAGACGAAACAACAGATATCACCATACCGAGAGAGTGTGTTCGTTGAGTGGCGACTCCAACAGTATGCGCCACTCACCTGCAAATGGAAACTGAATTGTCATCCGCATGTACAGAGATACTGCCAGAGTCCCTTAGCTTGGAAGCAGGGTTTCCACACACGCACACATCCATACATACATACATACATACATACATACATACATACGCACATACAAGATGGCCCTGGAGTGTTCTTGAAGTGGTCTTGGAGTGCTTGTTTGGGGTGGGTGCTCCCGCTCTTGAAGAACTATGAAGTCTACATTTGACACATTGGACCAGTGGTTGTCGATTGTCAGCCCAGCCTTCAGGTGTACGGAAACTCCTCCGCCCTGGACGACGAGATGTCGGACCTCAGGCTTCGCATTTGGGGGAGTAAAAGGGCACCAAGATGCGTTGACTATGTGCAAAACACCCAACGTGGTTTGAAGACATGTGGGGTGGCATCCTGCGTTGGAGCACAAAATATCGTTGTCTGCTGTATGCGCCACAAAAAGCCTTATCTTCATGTGCTTGCTTGGGCTTCGAAGCTTGAGGATTTGCGCGAGAGTCAATTGACGCATGTCAGCATGAGCATTACATAATTTTTTGAAGACATGCCGCGACTGTTCGCCGACTGAGCAAAAAAAATTGTTGCAGACCCACCTTTTGTCGGCTTGTCCATGGCTTTGCCAACGTGAGTGCCAAACGTTTCTTTGAAATTGCAGTCCTACAGCGGCAGCTAGATAGCCCTCTGGCAGGTCTGCATACGAAGAACTGGATGCTGACGGCTTGGAAGAGGGCGCAGCTGGTGGGAGGCAGGGCTTCAGACCGTTGCAGTGTAAGCAACTACACGGTCCGGCGATCACAATTTCCACGGTGTGCACAATTTGACATGCTTCTTTTCGCCATGCTTGTGTTCCTTGTCTGAAAGCTTGGCCGCCATCTGTAAGGCGCTTTTCAGGCAATCTTGTTCAACTGCAACAAGCTGTGGAGTTGAACATCATTCTGTTCATGCACAAGATTGAGCACCACATGTAAATCTGAACATACATGAATGCGTGTCCACTTCATGACTGAGCAAATCCGTAGTGTCATCCTTGTGTGCATGGCTGAAGCGCAAATTGCAAATCATCTAGTAAATCTCTTTGGCAAGCAAGATGGTCATTGAAAACGGTGCCACCACCCTGCAACTGAAGCCCGAACAGAAACAATCATGAACTGACGGCTCCAAGGCGCGACCCACGCAAGGCATCTGCAAAATCAACGACTGTGGCTACATGAGATTTGACTGTTCGCTCTCAGGGTCGTCACTCCCCTCACCCTCTTCCCCCATCCCCCCACCCCCCCAACCGCCTCCAAACGGAACAGAGCACACCAAAAGTTTTAACAAGTGCACAAAGTATAACATGAGAAGGCCTGAAAGGAACACCAACACCCTTGCAAAGCGCCCGAAACACCGCGGGAAAATACGACCCGTGGCTGAGTGGCAAGTCGGAGCATTGAAAACCTAGGCAAGCCTTGGGCAAATTCGAATAATTCGAAGTTGTCCCACCAAGCAGAAGAAGTGATGAAAGCTGAATGGCAACGAGATAATGTATTGGAACAAGGGCGGGCGCTGACACTCAGACCCTGCATCTGGGAATAGCTCGTGTAAGGTTTGTTGATGGCAATGGCTCTTGTCGGGACTCCTTTTATTGGCTATGCAAAGCAGGGAATGTGGTCCTCACACCCCCCCTCCGTGGCTCCTTATGACTCATGTTTCTGTCTTCGAGGAAGCGTACGTCCAGCATGCTGCATGCTTTGGGCAATATGCGTGGCTCGGCTAAGTTGGATTCCCGAGTGCTGCGCGAGGAGGTAGTATGGTTAGTATGGAGTGTGGCGTTGAGCTTTTTGAGGCCAATCCATCCTGACAAGCTGCTTGATGCCCCAGAGCAGGCCAGCCAATCAACAATTTCAAAGCACATATGTGGCTGGTCGTCTAACGCGCAGTGCAGGCGAAGAAGCTTTCGAAGAACGTCAGGGTAAGAGCCACATGCCGGACGACACTGATGTTCTGAGAGGATCATGGAGGTGCGATTGTCGACCTTCAGATTGGCAGCTGCGGGAAGGACGCAACAGCAAGCGAGGCTGGCACACTCATGAGGCAGCATCCTCACCAGCCTTGTCCTTGACATAACCCTAAAGCTTCTTGCAGCTGCATCTGCTAATTAAGGATTCTCTATTTTCTCCAGACCTGATTGGAGCTCATTTTTGCATGGCTGCACGCTGAAACAATCAGGCTGCTTTCAAGGGTCCTGCAAAACAGCTCAACCAAGAAAGCAGGCGAATTCAGCTGGTCTGCATTAGCAGAGCTGGAAGCTGTTAAGACTGCTCCGGTCTTTCAGAAGAGGGATCTGTCGATGTCTCTAGGTATTTCCCGTCATGTCCTGTACCAGTATTACCTTTCAGCTTATGCGTCTGTTCCACGTGATGTTGGCCGGAGCACTTGTATTCCTAAAACCTCTCAGTGTTTTCGAGGTGCTGGCCGATGCAGCTACGGCTGCAGGCCAGACATAACGCATATTGTTGTGTGCGGCAGCCTTCTCACAACAGATACCAGAGCCTTAAGACTACCCTCAAAGTACCCTGGATGCATCATGGAAGCGAAGTCCACTTGGATGCCGGATGCTGGACAGAGATGCTTCAATCAGCCGTAGCTTGTGCCGACCCTGCTGAGCCCTCGTGCTCGTGTCGTCCGGCATCTGTCGTCCAGTATCTGAAGCATACAAATGGTTGTCAGTGCAGGCACACTGTCATGGCTGGTTTGGCCATCAATTTCTTTGCCTGTACGCTGCTGGCGGGTTTTCCAGTTTGTTGAATTTGGTTTTGCTCCACAGGCTGCCAGTGGAAAGCTGGCAGCGGCAAAGCCGCGCCAGCTCCAAAACATTGTGCAGCCTTGGCGTACCTAGGGTGGGAAGCGGTTTTGATTAGAATCCTGAGCTTCAAGCCACTTCTTCACCCAGCCCGAATAGCGGGCACTGCTAACACTTCGGTTGAAATGCACACTGCACGCACTGAGGGGCACCCTGAAGGCAGAGTGCTTTACCGGCAAGTTTCTAAGCAGAGTTCAGACATGTTCTGACCAAGGACGCTGCAGATGCCTTCGGCGGCTACAATACCCTCAGACTTCTCCGGTGAGGCGTGTTCGCCGGCACCGGCTGGCCACGAGTCTACCAAGACCACAGAGCATTCGATCCAGTCTGCTTCTGCACACGGCCATGCAGGACAAGCAGGTGGGGACACTGCATCCATGGAGGCAACAAGCTCAGCCCAGATAGACAAGGCCCACGCCGGGACGTTTGTTGTTTTGTGTGTCTGTTGTTTGTTTTCTTGTGTGTTGTTCCCACAACAATCTTGGCACTTGCTGCATCCCAGTTCTTGAAATTGCACCACTTGCCCGACTTGGTCGTTGCCACATTTGTCCCGCTTGTCCCATCTCACAGCTTACTCGCTTGTCGCAGCTGTGCAACGAGGAGACTTCCATCAACAAGGGGGGGATGTGAGTGGGGGAAGACGGTGTATTGGACCAACTCGTCTTCTGCCCAAGCCTTTGATGTGCCCGATGCTGGGGTTCTGTAATTAGTCTCCCTCGCTGTCCCCACCATCCGGAAGATGCCATTCTTATGACATTCCGTTCGTATATTGTCAACTGCATGTTCCCTGCAGCACAAACCCACAAGTTCGGACAGCAGGTTAGATTGCGCTCGTGCAGGAGCTTACCGGATATTCTTGTGTCAGCGTCTTCTTCTGGTTCACATTGCCCGTCATGTTCCCCTTTCGTCCTTCACCTCGGTAGTGTGATGCTGCATAGGCCCTGGCGCTCTTCTGATACAAAGCCTGGTGCTTATATCATTGGCAGAAAGCCGTGGCTAGACGCAACAGCATAAACCCTGCCAGTATGAACATAAAGCCCAAGACCAGGTCGGGATATTGGGGCGCTCAGTCTGCCACGTGACGTTCCCCACACAGAAGTGCTGCAAGTCAGTTAGCGGCTCAAAAACTGTTCAGACGAATGCGAACTTGTGTGAGATGGCTCAGCCATGCCCCTCTACAGTGAGAAGAGGCTTGGCTGACCATAGCTTCTCGGGCAGGAAACGGCCAATGCATAAGTTCTCGCAGGCAAGCGATATAGATTGGACAAAAGCAGCGCAGTAGCAGAGACGACAGTAGCAAGATGCGGCGCCGCTGTGTTGAACGATCTGCTTCCGGAACACTTAATCTTCAGGACAAGGTTTCCTGAAGCTTCCGCAGATAGAAGAGCGCTGTCCGTTTGTACTCGCTTCTTCCTTGAGTGGACTAAGGATTATCTACGCCGAGCGCCGCTTGGCAAAAACCTGAAAACCAGAGCATTAACTTTGGTCACCCATCGTGCTTGATGGCTTTATCTTAAATTGAATCGCGAGCTATCCGCTGAGCTTAAGGTCAGCGCGCTTACAGAGCTTTCCTCCTATCGAGGGCTTCATCGAAGCACGCGCCATGTCGGAGCGATGCCAAGACACAGCATCAGCGGCCTCCACGGTCTGACCACTTGGGGACATCATGGGCATCAAGCACTTCGAGCGATGGGGATGATGTGGGCGTGCTCAGCAGCATCGCTGGCTTGCTCGAGGCGACTCTCGCGAGCCTCGCGAGCCAGGAGAGTGGGGAGACTGGGGAGACTTGCTGCCCGAGGTAGCGAATGGTCGGCTGGTTTGCAGGATCCCAGAGAGTTTGAGTCCGAAGAGGACTATCTCAAGACCCTCGAGGCAGACGGCGAGTTGCCCAAAGGGTTTCGAATCGCAAACAGTAACTTGACGTTCATCCCCGAAGAAGCTCAGGAAATGGGGGAGCTTCCCATGAGACTTACCGTCCTGTGCCTGGAAGAGCCTAGTGATATGGCAGCGGCCGTTTTCACACAAAACGCATTTCCTGGTGCTCCTGTGCGGGTTGGCCGATGCCGATTTGCAGACAAAGCAAAGCTTCAAGCAGTCGTTGTCAACAACAAGATCAGCAACGTTTCCCCACCTGATTCTGATGGAGGTGTATCTGCAAGTGAGGAGTTATGCCTTGAGTTGGCCAAGAAGCTGAACTTACCAGGTGGCGGGGAGTCAGTGCTACCAAGCTCGACAGGAGTGATTGGCTGGAGGTTACCTGTAAAGGAGATGGTGCAAGCTCTCCCGACAGAAGAAATGCTTAAGGGAGGCAGCGCCGTTGCTGCTGCCCGTGGAATCATGACAACAGATCGCTACCCCAAGCTGTCCGCAAAGACCTTCGATGCTGGTGCAAAGTTGGTTGGCATCGCCAAAGGTGCCGGTATGATTGAGCCAAACATGGCTACGATGCTTAGCTTCCTGATGACAGATATCAGTTTTGAGCGGACCGAGCTGCAAGCGATGTTGGAGGAATGCGTAGCTGCCAGCTTCAACGCCATTTCCGTCGATGGAGACGAATCTACAAGCGATACGGTTGTTTTAATTTCGAGCGGCCGGGCATCAGCAGATGTCAGCAAGGAAGAGTTCAAGGCTGCCTTGAAAGAGGTTTGCTGTGATCTTGCGGCGCAGGTTGTGCGAAATGGAGAAGGCACCCAGCATGTCATCCGAGTGAGTGTCAGCGGTGCTGACACAGATGACACTGCGAGAAGGGTTGGCAAAGCAGTCGTGAATGGGCCCCTGTTCAAGTCAGCTGTTGCCGGCAACGATCCCAATGTGGGGCGTTTGATCGGAAAGGTCGGACAAACCTTGGGGACCGACGGTGCAAAGATGGCACGGGACTGCGTCTGCAAGATCGGTGGGGAAACGATCTTCGAGAACGGCCAGTTCAGACTAGACACTGCCAAGGAGCAACGACTAAGCTCCCATTTGAAGTTTGCTGCAGCAGACTGACGCTTTGAAGAACATTGAACCTGTTCTCTCAGCTCATCTTTTGTGTAGTTAGTAAGGTCCGGTTCGTTGCAGTCGGCAATTTTCTGGTATCTAGCATGCACAGGTCAACTGCCTTATCCGCAGCACCGTCGAGTGGTGGATGTGGAGGTGGTTTTGGGAACAGGATCCGGCAAAGCAGTTGTTGCTGCGAGAGAAATACTTTCAAGTTCAAGGGCTGTGCTAGCCAGGTTTACAGTGTCATGACAGATACCTACTGCATCACTTCGGAATGTCTTCGATGTTGCACCAACTTCTTTCGAGTTGTCCTCAAAGCATGCGGTAATGTGCCACAACGTGATGCGGCCCTGCGTTTGGATCCCAGGTTCTCGGATCAGATCTAACCACTGAGTACGTGAAGATCAACGCAGATTACCGCTCTTGAGTCAGATTGCGTAGATGAGGTCGGCCAGCACGAATCGGCCAGCACGATGGAATGCACAGGCTTCCGGATTTCACGAAATCTGATGCTGTCGTGGAGCGATGGCGCAGTCGCATTCCCGTCTCAGGCAGTTGGATAGTACGAGTGAATACCAACGAAATCCAGGCCCTGGAATCGCTTAAAGCAAGTAAGGCAACTAAGTGCAAATCTGGACAGACTGGGCCGAACTGCGGAAAAGGATTGTGTGGCTGCACAAGCCTTCATGACTTGTCTGGACACAGCGGCATACAGTCGCGCAAAGTGCTCGTGTGCGGTGACTGACTGTGCGACTGCTAGCCCCCTGTTCAGGTGGGCATTGTGCCCTCAGATACATCTGAACAACCATAGCTTCAAGTTCGGACAGCTCCTCACGGACCTCCTCCAAGTTTGTTTGCAGGGTGACTTGGCTGACCTGCCCAGTGAAGCAGTGAATGTCTGCCAGACCTGTGACAGACTTGGATAGCCCTGCACATTTTCAAACCTTAAACCTTTGGCCGAAACCCAAGCGGATTCTATGCCTGCACCCCCAACTATGCTGTCTTCATTGGGTGCGGCACCCATTGTCTGGACCAGTTACTATCGCTTTGCAGTCGTTCCTCGAATTTCGTTGTACGTTTTCTGACTCGCGGCTTCCTGAGAGTTTTTCTAGAAAGTTATGACTTTAGTAGAACTGACGTAGGTATATTCTCTACAAGTAGACAGCATTCTCCATTCCACTCCCCGTTGTGAAGGCCCCCACCACCAGCGAGTTTCGGCCCATAGTCGTGCAACGTAACGGCCTGTGAGACGTTATTGATTGAGCATGTGATCCAAATAAAACATGACAGAATGACTGTCTGTACAAATTGTCCCACGTTATGGGTCGTATGCCTGGGGGCTAGCATCAAAGATGCATGAGGCTATGTTGCATTATCTGCGAAGCCCTGCACAGCATGAGCTAGAAGCGCACATGCTGTCGTAGCTTCCATCCGAATACTATGGCATTGATCGCAAGTATGTTCGCATGTGACGGGTTTGAACTGGGCCAGTGCAGCTTCTGCACTGTTTACAGGGTTTAGAAAAGAGCATTGTGCAGAGGGCTTCAGTTGTGTCAGGGTGCAAACTTGTCGAAATCAACTGTTTGTTCTGCCAAGGCTGTGCTGCAAGAACTACCGCAGAGTGTCCCGGAGCGTGCTAGCGTGCCTTGTCTTGAAAGTGATGCGTGGCAGAAAGCGCCGGAGAGGGTGGCTCTGGAGAGCTCTGTGTCTCGCCGGTCTCAGCAATTTTGGCAAGACAAAGTACTGGCATGTTGTGACTAGCGGCACAACATGTAATGTGTGTGCAACACGACATCCGTCCAGTTATTCTGAATCTGAGAAGAAGAACAATGCTAGATCGTCACCGTACGGCTACCATGGTTAGATGCAGTGCCTGCTCACGTGCAGATGCGCCCGCACGCTGTAGCCGTTGCTGGGAACCTTTTTGTGGCCCCGAGTGCCAGCGGAAAGCCTGGCCTGAGCACAAGCTTCGCTGCACATTAAAATCCTTAAAGGATGTGTCGGGCACCCAGATCGTGCACCGGCAGTGCGCGGAGACTGACCCGTCTCAAGGTAGTCCGGAACGCCTCGGCCCAGAGAGCCTGGAGCCATCTGTTCCAGATTTTGCAGCGGAGATCTCAGAAGGTTTGCGCAAGATTCGTGACCTTGCAAATTCGCAGAGTGCGCTAGAGGCACTGGGCACAGGATTACGGGTCAAGTTGGCCACAGCAAATGTAGCATCGACTGAAGATGCGGCAGCACTTCACCAAGTCGTGGACGTGCTGTGGCAGAAGTGCCACTGGGAGCCTCACATGCAGGAGAAACACGAATACAGTCTCCTGCACAGCCTTCCTGAACACAGTCAGGTGGAAGCCGAATGTATGCTTCCAAACTGCACCAAGGCGACTACACTGACTACACGTGAACAGGTGCTCACCGCCGCCTCAGTTCCTCCGAGACATGATCCGACCTTGGTTGGACGCCAATGCCCCGTTGTGGATGCGAAGGGCGGGTTGTCAGCCGATGTCAAGCAGGAGCTGGCGAGCTACTTCAATCCTACCTCTCCATTTCCATGCATAATTCGGAACCTACCCATCTTCGATCGAGCCGTCGAGAGGTGGGATGTGGACTATTTGTGTCAGCACATGGGCACGCAGCTTTATCACACCTTTGCCTCTTCTCAAAATGTGAAGCGGTTTGCCTACTCCTTCGAGAGCCGCAACGAGGGTGGGTATGAGCCAAGTACAATTGCAGAGGCGTGCAAGATGACGTTTCAAGAGTTTGTCCGCAAGCAGCAAGCGAACGAAGATGGAAAATCCTATTACTTGCAAACACCGGTGCTCCGGTACGAGGGCGGGATTGTTACTTCTGCTAAGTTCGACGAGCATATTGAAGCTGACCTTCACACCATGAACAGACGTGTAGTCCACGAGCTTGCGCAACTAGGTCGTTTTGGCGAGCTGTCACGGAACCAGCTGTTTGTCAGTTATTCCGACTTCCTGACGGCAGTGCATTATGATCAGCAGCACAACCTGTACTTGCAGTTAAGAGGCTGCAAGCGGTTCTTGCTGTTTGATGCGACCTGTGCGGATTGCCTGTACCCATACCCGGTTCACCACTCGCTTGACCGCAAGGCCAGAGTCGATTTGGAGAACCTGGATCTGAATCACTGGCCACGAGCAAAAGCTTTGCAGGGCCGTGGTGTGGATGCGCTGTTGCTTCCAGGGGACATCCTGTTTTTGCCTATGAGCTGGTTTCATCATGTGCATAGCATTGGTCAGGAGAATGTGTCTCTCAACTGGTGGTTTTATGATTCTGGTAACTTGTTCGAGCCGACAAAAGTCCAGTGGCCGTTATCAGATATTTCTCTTCTGGAGCTGTCCCGGCACGTGGAATACTTCGTCGCTGAACAGCTGGGGCCTTCACTCGTTGGGATGTTCATCACTTGGTGGCTTGGTACAGGACCGTGCCCACAGGACAAGCTTCTGGCCGACCGCTGGCGAATGGTTCGAAATTACCTGCTCCGGCAACTTCTGAAGTTGCCTCGGCGCTCCTCGCAGTTTGTTCTGGCAGCTCTGGAACCGAGACGGTGGATAAGCCTCGACTCTCAGTCCCAAGCTTGCAAAGCTTCGCAAGGGCTCCGTGACCATCACAACGTCCCAGCAATTCTCAAGGGCCTCGACGAACTGGCACTCGGCATATTTCACAGTCGCATGCCTGCGTATGCCTATCGTGTTTTGGGCCGCGCCGTCGATTGCATCGCACCACACAAGCTCCGCTTCTTCTTGGAATGCTGCGAAGAGGTGCTGACAATACTTCGTGACTTCACCGATTGGGGAGATGGGCCCTTACAAAAGGCACGCCCTTTAGAGGGTCACGACCTCGATGGGGACTTCCTTTTCCACAAAGCAGAAGCTCGCAAAGCTCCTGTAGCTATTCTGCGAACGCTGGGGGAGCTCTGTGACTTGGCAGAGGCCCGCTATGTGCGCGTCACGACAGTGGATAATGGTCTCTTCGCCAACTGGCTGCAGGTCCTTGATGCGTGCTACTTCGCCAGCGTCCATGTCGAACCCGACTGGGTAGTCACCGGGCAAGAGCGTGAGTTCAATTACGGCTCGAATGGGGATGATGTTTTTCACGGGCTGTTCCAGCGAATCTCCCAAACCCAAACCTGCAGTGAGCCACGCGAGCCACGCTTCGATGTGACACACAGATTCAACTTCCTCTTGGTGAATGTGTTCCGCGGACGCTTCCTTCGTGGTCCCCAGGCTGCAAAACGGCGCACAGCCTACGCAGAGGTGGCTCAAAAGTTCCTGAAGCCACGATCAGATGTGCTGGAGCTGCGTGATCGCATCCTCGCAATGGCACCGGGGAGGTCTCTGCCCGGAGCTCCGGCTTTGATCGGCGTGCACAAACGGGTCGACAACCCTGGAACGGCACGCATGCAGCTTGAGCAGCGCATGCTGTGCACCGAGTCCTACATTGGTGCGGTGCGCAAGCTGTTACCTAGGTACAGTCGAAATGGAATACCAACAGTCGTTCTTGCGACTGACGATGAGCTTGCGCTGGCTGCCTTCCGCGCAGCCTTCGGACCAAACCTCATCTGCAATGATGCAGCAAAGCGTTGCGAGGGAGGCCTCAACGATTTACACATGCCCAAGGAAGTTCATGGTCAGCCCACGCGACTGACAGTTGCAGATGCCCGGGACTGCTTGGTTGATGCGCTCCTGCTAGCCTCGTGTGAGGCCATAATTCATGCTGATTCAAACGTCAGTATTGCTGCCGGAATCATGAACCCCAATTCTGACGTCTATCACGTTCGCGAGCTAGTGGCGAATCCAATGGAGGGTGGAGCATGGCCAGGCTACAGACGCTGCAGTTTGCCATTTTAAAAAGAGGGCGCGCCCGAGAGACGATGCAGCTGCCTTTTTTAATTAAAATCTTAACCTTGAGGGTTTGTGGTGAGGTTTTGAAATCACTTCTGCAATGCCAAAACCCTTCACTTCAGATTGAGGATTCTCAGAAAAGTGTTCCGAGAATCTTCAGTTTCAAATCCCAGGTAAAACTGTTTCAGAACCATGGTCAATACTGAGCAAGCTCTGAAGATTCCAATCACATGATCCGTTGCTGCAGATTGAAAGAGCGACGATTCAAGCGAGACATTTCGTATGAACTTCAATGCAGGACGAGAATCCAACGGTTAGAAATGTCAATGCATCAACCGCCAATCCCCAAATCAATGATTCCTCCGGGGAATCTTCTATCTTCAGTGCAAGGCTACGGGCTCAAAATTGATTGCAAGCTCGGTACTAAAATCCACACCTAAATCCACACCTTTCATTCATTTCGTTCTACGTGAATTGTGTGCTTATTGGCACGTTCTGCTTCATACGATTGCTTTTAGGAATGTCATAAGCCGCGGGGGGGGGGGGGGGGGGGGGGGGGGAGGGGCGACACTGCACCTGACTCCAAGGCATGAGGCGGGAGCGAAAATCGCCAAAGTGGTTTCTAGGGCTTTTCAAGTTTTGTTCTCAAGCTTTTCGCGGTTAGCGAAGTTCGTGTTAAGCTGTTGTGTTGGGTAAAGTTCAGAATCTTGGGAGGAGCTCTGCTAACCGTGTCAAGATTTTGGCCCTTTTTTCAATGGCGACGGAACGGATGCTTAGCTACCGGTATCATGTTGGATGACATGTTGGCTTCCCTGTACTCTTCCTTGCGATGAGGTACTTCGCCGAGACGCGCGGCCAAGAGGGCTTCATGCTTCGCCCCCGCGCGACAGGCCTCATTGACTTGGCATGCGTTACCAGCTTGTTTCTCGACCTTGTGTATCCTGGCGTAGTCAACATGCAAATTCTACAGTGATACTCACAAGGCACATGGTGTGGTGTAGCTACTGCAAGGTGTTGCGATGCTGCAGCCTTCCAGCTCTGGCCTTGCTGGCTTCGGCCGCTGTTGTCTTGACGCATCTGTCCCTGTCCAAGGTTTTGCTTGTCTTGCCGTTTTTCAGAACCACTTCTGCCTCTTCAGCCAGCATGTTAGCTGTTGAGCCGTGCGCTGAGCTTGGGCTCTCCTGGCAGCACCTTCGAGGCCCTGCTCTCAGCTGGCAGTTTGCTTTTGCACATGTCTTTCGAGCCGAACTCATGGTGACCTGTTGTCAATTGGTGCCTTCCTGGCCTGATACTACAAACGGAGAGACCAGAGTCCTCCCACAGAAACCGTGGTGCTACCTTCTTGCTCAAAACACGCCAAGCTGCTGAGTGCATCAGAAGCCAGCCGCGTCAGTAGCGAGACGCAGCAGCATGATGTCGGCTGATGCCGAAAAGGGGGAGCAGCGCAAGCTGCTCCAGACCCCTGCAGACGAGCCTCGAAGCTTTCCAATGATGCAGCTACTTGGCAGTGGAAGATGGCGTAGTGAACAGTGGTCAAGAAAGAGTTCATAGAAAGATTGCGCGTAGCTTTTCCTTCCCCCGTGCTTCAGTTTGACGATTCATGCAAGCGAGGCCCAACCCTGGATACAGCAACTCGCTGTTCTGCTGGCCTGGTGCCTGCTTGTATCCTTTGGCTGCCATCATCCTTTTTGCCCTTGGTCTTGTGGCGGTGGTGTTCTTAAGTGCCGGCACCATTCTTGCCGCCTCGATCCTCCTCTTGCCCGGGTCGCCTGCTCAGATAAGCAAGGTCTGCATCATCTTGCCACCAGTATTGGCACATGCGTTTCTTCCAAGAGATCGAGGTCGTGCTTCGTGATGTACACGTGCATGTGGCAGGGCTACCCTGCATACTGGACTTGGGATCTATATGTCCATATGCCTCGTGGCTTGAGTCATGCGGCCATGTTGTGATGCGAGAGGGGAGGACATGGCAAGAGTGAATGACGAATCAACGCCAAGGAGAGAGAATCTACAGACATGTGTATGTGTGTGTCTGTACTTACCTGTGCAACTTCTGGAGTCTTCACTAAGCAAGAAGAGATGGGCGTCCAATGGCAATTGCTCCTTGCATGTCTGAGGGCACAGGCCTCTCAAGAAAACGGTGTCAATAGTGCCTGTGACCACAGAAGATGCACAAGGGAAAGGCTTGCATTGCTAGCAAAATTGAAGCAGTCTCCTGGAACATCCGGAGCTGTGTAAGTCCACGGTCAGACCTCTATTTTGTCTTTCAAGTCCGCACGGTCGAGGACACACGATGACACAAAGCAAGGAGTCCTTGAGTGGGCATGACTTTGGTTGGCTCTTGTGTTGCTTTTGTTTGGGAAGCCACTTGAGCTCCCAAGCAGCCGCCGCCTTTGGAAACAGCAAATGCTCGGCAGCTCGACCCCCAAGCTCCAGAAGAACTTGCAATGCCCTGTTCCAAACAAAAGTTTTTGTTTTTTTGTCCACGAACACGATGTCTTCCATACCACCGTTTCGCAGAAACATCCGCAGGACGACATAACATGATGAAAAGCGTGCTTGTCAGCAAAGCCTTGCGTGCTCACTTGCATCGTTGTCTTTGTGCATAAGCCGTGTCCTCCTGGAGCTTCTGTGTGTAAGTGAGTTACATTGCCGAGGATCTATTTGTCGCACATGATCCTTCACTGGGGAGTGCCTCTCCCGAACGCAAGTGAGAAGTTCATGCCCTTGGACATGATGAGGCCAAAGGAGAAATTGCCAAAGGTATACGTGGACTATACTTTGAATCTCCAGGTGCCTTTGGGCGATTCGGACCAATTCCTGCGCCCATATATCACACCGAGATGGCACCACAACCTCGTCGAGCATAACCTGAACTTGGTGCCAGCATTCGACAGGTTTAGCGAGTTTGAGCCAGAAGAGGATTGTGTTCAATATGTCATGAAGCAGCTACAAGCAATTTACCCACCAGTCTATCAGGAATGGGCAGACAAGCACAGTGATCAAGCTTTGGCTAGGTTCTGCCTCTATGGGCTGGCGGCTCATCGCGTTCAGACCGAGGTTGTTGATGGCAAGAAGCTTTTCGTGGTCAAGACTAATGCCTTGTCGGCGCTGCCAGTCCGAGAGGGTCACGAGAGGTATGGCGGCGATGCGTATTTTGATGAGTCGTGGAAGCCAGTCATGATTGTGGATCATGGACTCGGGCCGATGCAAGAGCACGATGACCCTGTCAAGGTCGTTACCAAGCCAGGAGATCCGGAGTGGGCACGGGCCAAGTTTCGTTTTAGATCATCAGCGTTCGTGCTGGTGACCCTCGTGGACCATCTTTACCATGTACACCTGCAAACCACAAATTTGTTCGTCACGGCTTTGCGGGAACAGTTGTCGGCAGACCATCCGATTCGACGCTTCTTGACGCCCTTCACTTACCAGACCATCTCCATCAATGACAATGCCAAGTTCAATCTTGTAGCTCCAAGATCCATGGGGCCACGCTGCTTCGCTCTTACACAAAAAGGTTTGGAGCTAGCGTTTACAGCAGCCCCCAACCTGGTTGTCCCAGGCACCAAAGACATCTTCAACTTACGCACTTATATTCAGCAGCTCAAAGCAAGTGGCGTGGACACCGAATACTGGCGCCAAGCCCTTGAGCTTTACGAGATCATGGAACGTTTCGTGGCCAACTACCTGTCGTGCTACTATGTGTCGACACCAATTTGCAGATTAAGCGTGCTTCATGTTGCCATGTCTCGAGCAGTTGCAGTAGTACAGCATGCACATACCCTTTCACACAGCTGTTGCCAAGGAAACGAGACCTAGCTGCCGACCCGGAGTTGCGAGCATTTGGCCGGCATTTCTTCCATTGCTTGGAGGGGGTGGATGCCGCAAGCCTCAGTCGCCTCGGAGCGCCCTGGATCCAATCTGCACCTTGGTGCGAACATACTCAATATACTCAATGTTGTGCCGCAGGTTCCGGAATGTCAGGCGTACACCAGCATATCATGCAGAAGCACGTTGGGTCCGCCTGGGGTGGGGTATGTTTGATATTTTCTCACGCCCGCCCCATCCCATCTCAGAGCTTCATGGCTCGCTTATTGGAACTTAGCAGCTTAGCCTTCCAAAGAATCGAGTCCGAGTGCTTAGCCGTCAATTCAACGATTCAAGCACTTTGCCCACACCTTCATTGCTTGTACAGCATCAAGAGATAGCAAGAGTGCCGGTCAACCCATCCAATTTCTGCGACTGCCTCCCCCTCTCCACCTCCTCCGGCGCTTCTCGATCTGTCTCTCTTTTCTCTAGCTCTGTCCCCTTTATTGGTGAGTCCCATTGCTGTCTGCGCATCCGGTCCTTGTGCGTCTACCTCTTTCTCCTTGTCGCCTCACGGTGAGGTAGGAATCTTCATTCATAGCTGAAGTCACCGCAACATGTTAGTTGCTGACCGAAATCAGGTATCCGACGAAGCCGCGGACGCAGAGGCCTGGGACTTTTATGTCAAGTGGCTGGCCGGCGTAATATGGCTGGCGACTGCAGGCGCGTCAAACAAGAGAGTGTCTGCAAAGCACCAGGGATGCGAGATGGCATGAGCATGGCTGTAGTTGGTCGATCGCAGGTCATGAGCAGATGGGGGCTGTCGAGGTGTACGCACAGGACCCACACAACACGATGCAAGTGTGGAGACAGTCATCGACAGTCCAGCCTAATTGGGAGCGTTGTGCTTCAGAGGCCGAGAGACCGTCACTTGTCGCCTTGCCACTTTCAATGAATGCAGGCAGCTGAAGATATAGAGCCTTCGTGAAGACAAACGGAGAGAGAAAAAGACAGCAAGTTTTTTGTGCAGGGGAGCGCCCATCCCAAATGATCAACCACAACGCTTGCAGTGTGGATTGAGTGCATCTTTGCAACCTTAGTAAGGAGGCCAAGACTGCATCTGTCTGCGGGTATCAGTATAGTGTAGTTGAAGTTAGAAGTCAGATCGCAATTTCTTGGAGGATGCATCGTGGGCATCATTCAAGTGGTCACATGGGGCGATCCGCGGGACAAAGCAAACAGCAACTTTGCAGGCGCTACTCATGTCCTTTACGTCAACACCGATGCCAAAGCTGCCCGGAGTCAAATGAGTATTGCTTTGTGGTTTTCGGTGCAGGACTTCAGTTCTTTATTATGCTCTGTTGCCTGCAAAGTTCGAAGTGGAGGCTGCTGGGCGAGGACTGGTCCCATCTATTTCCACCTGCGAAAGCAAACACCTCTCCGAAGGATTCTTTGAAGAAGTTCCAGGGCGAGCTGGAGGCCATGGCTCAGAGATGTGATCAGTTCAATGCCACGGCGAATTCCAGGATGTTCCCCCACTGCTTTCCCATGTACGTCAATAATCCACGCGTCTTGGAGACGAGTGTGAGTGTTTGACACATGCACAGGAAAAAGGCTTAGATCACAAGTCAATGACCTTTGCTGACAAGCGCAAAGATGTCATTCAGGTTTCACAGGGGAAGTCTGATTTTGCAGTGGTTGCAGGCAGCCACAACGTGGCAGCTGCAGTCCACACCTTTAGCCCCTCACGAAGCATATACAGGGACTTCAGGTCAAATTGCCTTGCCGCGATACCAACTCTGAGTCACGTCAAAAAAGATACTGCACGTGGCTGGGGTTTGGCACCGCGCATTGTATTCCGTGCTGAAACCATCCTCAACGGCAGCTCCGACACGTGTGCAGGTCACGAGGTCATCTGGGCATCCTGGACATGGGTTTCACGTTTCCTGAACGTTCCGCCGTGCTGTGCATGCGCAGGGCAATTGTTGATAATCGTTGCTCGGCAGCAACAATCCTCGTCCAGACTGCAGAAGCATAGTGGCTGTTGTGTCTTTGGGCTTGCCGAGCCAACATGTTATCTGCGAAGCTTACGGCTGCTTTCTGAGTCGTTTCTGGCACACAGGTGGTACGACCGAAAATGCACCTGCGTGTTACAGGCTGCGTGCCTTCGTGTGCTGTTACTTCCTCTCTGTGCGGGTTTGCACCATGATTTTGTTGGCTTGGTGCGAGTCTTCCACCACAATCTCAAGGGCGAGATCTCGGCGTGCTGAGCCCACAAAGCAAAAACTCGCACTGCAAGCCTAAGCAATGTCAACCTTGCCTTGAGAAGTTCAAGCTTTCAAGAAAGCTCAAGATGCGATAAGTTGATAAGCTCTAGACTCCGTGCTTTGTCGTGGCCATGGACGACCTGCGCCTTGCGTTCTCTAAATTTGGGGTCCTCTGGGCAGCTCTCATACTGGCCGGTCATGGTGCTTTGCGGAAGCCCAGCATCGCAGGCAAGAGTATCTATTTTATTGTCACAGATCGGTTCGCAAGGAGTGGACCAGACAAGGACCGATCGGGGCAAGAGCGCTGAGAGCAAGCTGAGCGAAGCAGTGAAACACCAGCCCCTGCGCGCACCGAAGGACAACTATGAGTTCTGCGACCTAGCCACGATGCCCAACCCATTGTTGCCAAATGGTGGTGCGTGGTGCAACGGTACTTTGCAAGGTCCTCTGCTTAATCTCGCGATGAAATGCTGGGGTTTTTGCTGTACACATCAAATCCCATTCGGACTGAGATTCTGCCGACTATTGAAAATCTTCTGCCAGACCGCACTCACCAACCCTTACTCCAGCCCAAAAAAGTTGCTAACTCAATGTCTCCGGCATCCGTAGGACGGGACTAAGGTTCCGGGCAAACACCTTACCTAGCCTCCATTCTGACAGACGCTCTCTTGCGAGGTATCATCGATCGCCTGGACTACATCGAGGGCATGGGGTTCGATTGCATTTGGATTACACCCGTTGTGAAGTCCTTGGACTACACGGGCTACTATGCTGAGGACTTCTTCGATGTTGAGCCGCACATTGGAACAAAGGACACCCTCCGAGCCTTGTCCACAGAACTGCACAAACGGGACATGTGCCTCGTCGTGGACATCGTGGCCAACCATGTTCGACCCTTTGTTGTTCAGTCCGCCTGGACTCCAGATGCCTTGAAGACTTACCTGGGTCCTGCTGGCATTAAGCCCTTTGACAAAGAGGCCCGGGGAGAAAGTGCCATACGAAGAATTCTCTAGGAGCTGAGGGACGAATGGCTGAAACGAAGAAAAACGAGAGTTTCGTGTCTGTGCACTTCTGCGCAGGAATATTTTCACACCTATGGCAAGTCTCCAGCGACTCCGTTCCGAGACTACGTCCTTGGAGGAGTTGCCCAGGCCCATGGCCTATGCTTTTAGCTGCTCTAGCTAAGAGTTCAGTACGGGTTGATTTGAAGAAGTAAATCACCGGAAGGGACTTACAGGACTGCTTCTGACCGTTCAGTTTTGCAGTCACGAGGGAGTTCAAGTAGAAGCAGAACTGCAACTTGCAAAAGAGCTTCCGCAAGCCGCATTGGATTCTATGCTGCGCTGGGGCGCAGCATATTTTAGGTTATGTGTTGTCCCATGCCCATTGTGTCCTGTTGAGCTAGGTGTGTGTGTGTGTGTGTCGCATTCTGGTTTTTACAGGTGCTTCTTTTGAGGTCCTAGTTCTGCAGTGTTACTCAATTCTCGGTTCATCAAGACTGCGTCCCATCTGGAAGCTGAATAGAACACGCGTGTGACATGCAAAAAGACGGTATCTTGTCAATGTACTCGTATTTCATCTGCAGACGGTGCCACCCACAGAGCAAACAACGACTGTGTGCGACCCTTGAACACGCTGACGCCTGTCAGTCTGGCAAGATTGCGCCGCGTGGACATTTTCAGTTATGTTCTCGTTGTTTTTTTCATCGCTTCAGGAGAAATACGCTCTTCGAACAATCTGAGCAGAATATGCGTCGAGCGAACCTCTCAAATTTTTCAGCGCGTTATGAGATATAGCATCTTGACAGGAGCAATGAAGGGAGCCACACATTGCGAGGTTCCGGCCCAACAGCCAACAAGGGAGCCATGAAGTGAGCCCATTTTTTTTTACGATTTCGGCCCCGCGGCCAACCCGAAATCGTTCTTGTTTGGGGAGCAACCCCCCTGCAGACTGCGAAATGGCGCATGTTCCTTCACATGGCCTTGCCATGTCGGTGGCGCCGCTGAAAAGACAAAGCCATGCGCAGCTTGTACAGGGTTGCAAACTGCCGGGTTTGGACACTCTTTCTTGCGCCACTTGCTAGGTTATATTGCATCCATAGGCCTTCGTTTGCCCCAGCATTGCCCTCGACTCTTCCAGAGGCTTCTCAGAGTCAAGGCAGCGACAAAGTTCTTAAAGAACGAGCGCCTTGGCTCAATGTGGGTGGCTGCATGACTCTGCTAGATCGGTTCTGCTTTAGTTTGCGCTGAGGTAGTCCCGCAGTGTTCGTGTGCGTGCTGGGCCCTTTAAGAGTTGGGGTTCGCGGGTGGAGGAGTTGCTCGACATCGCGCGTAAAGAGGAAGCGTCCGAAAGCGGGCTTCGTACTGCATGTCTCAAAAAGTGCCGACCGTCACGAGGATGAAGGCCCACAGGTGCGTCTCAGATGCGCCATCATCGTAACTGTCGCTGTCGTCACGTTTTGGTTATGAAAGAGTGCAGACAGTTGCGAGGATGAGGCACGCGGGTTGCGCCATCCTTGCAATTATCATCACCTTTGGACTTCATTTTAAAGTTCATGGCTCAAAAAGGCTGAGAGTCACGAGGATTAGGACCCTCAAGGTGCGCGATCCCAGAAACTGTGGTCATTTTTGAGGCTTGGCTTGGCGTTGATGCCTTAAGAATGCTGACAAATACAAGGATGAGGCCATCCTGGTAACTGTCGTCACTTTTGAAGCTTGGTTTGGTGTAGAGGCCTCAAAAGTGCTGACAGTCACGAGGATGAGGCACAGGGGCGTCGCCGTCCTCGTAGCTGTCGTCACTTGTTAAGCTTCGTTTGTTGTTCGCTTCTCAAAGTGCTGATAGTAACGGGGATGAGACATGTAGAGTGCGCCTCGTAACTATCGCAACTTGTATGGGGCACCATATAGTTCTGTTACAAGTGATTGCAAGGTCCACAAGAATGGATTTGTTGCCCATACATTCCTGTTCAAAGTTATTGAAAGGTTCCACCAAAGTGATTGTTTGACCGTTTGGTTTCAAGCGAGTGAACGGGCCGAAAAGAATGGATTTGTTAACCATGCATTACTGAGATATGAGAGAGAGTCAGCGAGATAAGAGAGAGACAAGAGAGAGATAAGAGAGAGATGAGAGAGAGAGCGAGAGCGATGAGTGATACGAGAGATGCGAAAGATATGTGAGAGAGAGAGAATGGAGATAAGACAGAGATGAGAGCGATAAGCGACAGAGGGAGCTTAGAGAGAGATAGGAGAAAGAGAGAGAAGGATAGGACATGTCACTTCGGATCGCGTGTTGTGCGCCGCGTCTCTTTCGTTCGACGTGTGGGTGGGGGCAAGGTGGGTGCGTTCATGGGCCGCTGGTCGTATGCATGGGCATCCAGTTGGGCGGAAAACAAACTATACTATAGCTGATGCATATCTGGGCCACGGTTTCGTTTACAGCTTTAGCCTCAAGTGCGCCTTCATGTTCCATCATATCTCAGGTACGCAAGAAGCTGACCGAGTGCTCCTTTCTCGCAATATTTTCTGTTACGTGCTGGTGCGAGCCAGTTGAGTTGCTGCATTAGCGAAGGTGGACCGCGCGTCATGAACCTCACGGAGTGCAACTGTTTTCCGGGCAACAGAGGGCCTGATTGCCCAGGCTACAATCCTCAGCTGCAGGTTGAAGGCTGGTTTGGACCGCTTGCTGATCTCAATCAGGACAGACATATGGGGTCACATATGACATATGGACAATGATGTTGTGCGTCAGCTCTCAATATTTTGTAGCCTTCGTGATGGGGTGGGTACGTCGCAGCTTATTGCAGGACCACCCATTCGTTCGGCAGAAGCTTCTGGAGTACGTGCAGTACCTCGTGAGAGAGTATGATGTTGATGCGTTTCGGCTCGACACCGCGATTTACATGGACAAGGAATTTCTGCTTCTTGTCGTTGATTGGCTTCGGTTGTTGGGCACATCTGGGCTCAATCTGTCTGAATCGTTGGTACAAGTACTGTAGCTAGCGGCTTTCAAACAGGAAGCACGGCATGTTCTGCAAACTCCAAGGAAGGAGCTGCAAGATGCAGCTGGCGTGGACATTTTGGGTGAGACGACGGTCAACAACATCAGCTGCTCGATCATGTTCTGCCGACCCGAAACATCCAGCGTTGCCGTAGGTTCATCCAAGCACGACGAACCCATGGAGCAAGCTCATTTTTACTTGGAGTTTAGGGTCAGAACCGAACAGCTGGGTTTTTGTCCTTCTCTCTGTTCCTTGCGTTTCATACTATGTGCATACGTCTCACGCCCTTGTGGCTTAAACTTAAACACTAATCTCACTAACCCGTAGGGAAAAGATAAGAATGAAAGAGCCAGGACAACGATAAAGAAATGACTACATTCGCAGTTGTTGTAGAAGAGTCTTAATGATGCATGAACCCAGTTAATGTTTTGTTCACCGGCGCTTCAAATAGGCTCTTCATACGATGCGTGCTTGCGTTGTATTCTATTAACTAGCACACTAAACGAAATCATTCGGGCACCACAGTTGATAGCACGACAGTGGAAGTACATAAGAGTAGATGGTATTGTCGAGGCCCCTGCCCCAGGCCCTGGGGTTCAGGGCTCAAGAGGGTTTGAGGTCTCCTGTGTGCTTCACATTGCAGCTATGCCCGTGGTAGCCAGGCACATTGGTGTGCAAAGGCAGAGCTTCCGAAGTGTTTCCACATGCACTATCACTAAACCCCACCTCCTAGCAACAGAAGCAGCGGTGGCTTTGTTCTCCAGTTCCACTCAGCAGCAGCAGCACGAAGTGTTCCAGTTCCTCTCGCATTGCCAAACATTTTCTAGGTGCTCTAGGTTGGCAGTGCATCCCCAAAGGTTACCACGCGGACTTCCAGGATGCTTTGACAGGGCTGCTGAATTTTCCGGCATTCTACCAGGTGGGCAGCTGGCCACTCCGCGTCAGTATGCGTCAGTAAACCACGATAAACCACGTATCGAGTCCTGAAAGGTCCATGCGAGCTTCTGCCAGTACCACTTGGGCGGAGACTTGGGGAACTATCGCCTGCAAGGTGCCTTCACGCCTCAACTTCCGGACTTGAGGACGGCCTGCGAAACAGCATGCCTTCGGTGACCATGTGGATGGCGAGCACGTTCTGGCCACGTTAATGTCGGAGTGTGAATTAAACTGGACCAGCCATGTCTTCTGACGGACCAACTCCTTGAAGACTCCTTGGTGATACTAAGCAGAGGCATGAAGCCGGATGCAGCCCGTAACGCCCAAATAGAACAATGCCAGCTTTCGAGGACTCCAAGGACCTGAGGGCCCAGACCGTGATAGTGTGAGACTCGAAGCGGGTTGTGCAACACCCCAACTAAGCCACAAGCAGACCAGCATACCGCATGCCTGCCCCCACCACGTGGCACCAAGAACAGCATCCACAGAATCCCAAACCAGTCACGCAAGTTCTGCGGTGGCTGAATGACTTTTAGGTTGACTGTGATGCTCCTGAGCTTATCTACTCTTGATCCTCAAGATGCCAAATGCTCAGGCGAATTTGACCTCAATGCCCACATTTCGTAGATGCCTCCAAAGACATTTGCAACACTCTTGGAAAGGAAGCTGTGGGACATCATGGCATTCCAATCGACGCCGGGTCTCTACAATAATCCGGATTTGCTTGGCAATTTTGCAGACAACCACGATGAGTTCGCGCGCATTACATACTACTGCCGGGCTCTTAATTTGCGAGCAAGAGTCGTTTGAATGCTCCGATCCAAAACGCGATGGATGCCTGCAGCCAACTCTAACTCGGTGATTGGATCGAGACGCCGAAGGCATTCTGCTTGCCACCATTGTTCACGGTTGAAGTTAAGGGAGGGCTTCTCTACCTACGTGCAGTACGCAGTCTGTTCGTGCTAATGTTTTGCTGGACTTCTTGCGAGGGCAAAGCCAACCAGCGCGCAAGACCCCTTGAACTCCTTAGTCGCCGACCATCTCCGACTGCCAGGACCCAAACGACATGTTCTTGAGCCTGGCGCATATGGCCGGATGAAATGGCCCCAATCGCATTCCATACACGAAACAAATTAGAATCAACAAGCCGAATGCCAATCAAGAAACCACATGAAAGTCAAACATCAAAAGAAGGATAGTATCACTTGTCTTTGCTTTCCCGAACCAGATTGACTTCTTGTTCGTGTTGTTGATTTTATGCTTTTCGCTGCCATGGACTTGCTTTCGCTTCTGTTTGCCGCTTTGTGTTTGTCGTGTTTTTGTTCGTCGCTTTCAGCCATTAGCTTCTTGCTTAAAATTTTTGTGTTGCGCTCTTCCTTGGCTTTCCTGTTTGTTCTTTTTGCTTTTTTTTGCTTTCGGGTTCTTGCTTTTTGCGTTCGGCGTCTTGTGTTTTGCTTTCTGTTTTTGTTTTTTGCATGTGTCTTTACGTTGTTGGTTCACGCTATTCTTGTTGCTGTCTGCTTGTCCGCTTGATTTTGCTACTGCTTGCTTCCTTCAAGGTCACATGTACTGGCTGTAGTGTTGATATGTACTAGATACTAGACATGCGGTATATACGGTATACTATATAAAACTGCACTTGCTATATATATATATATATATATATATAACTACATATTAGAAAACAGGAGGGCGAAAAGTCGCACCAGAAATTGCGCAAACTGGAGCCAAACAAATAGCACCATAAATAGCACAAGTGGGGGCAGAAAAGTTAGCACCAGAATCACAAATAGGAGCAGAAAAGGCAGCACCAGAAACAGCACAAACAGGAGCAGAAAAGAAACGGCGCAAGTTTTATTACGAAATATGCGATCACTCCCTTGCCATGTTGTCCTGCTGTTGCCGGTACATGTCATTGTGCTTCTGTTTGTGCTCACTGCTAGTGGAGTGCAGCATGTCCCAAGTTATGTTTCGGGCTTTTCTAGTGGCGTTTTTGACTTCTCGATTATGCTTTGGCTTGCGATTTGGCTCAGTCGATGATGAAAAGGGCTTACTGTTTGAGATGAGCACAACCAAGTTCAAAACCTGCACGCAACACGGGACCCAGGTTCGTAAGAGAGCGCGCAATGTCGAATCACGTGCGTGTGCATCGGGGCGATCGGAACAGTCAAGTGCCCGTGCCGGCCCGTGCCGTCTAATCCTTCAACATTGCTTGAGTAATTTGATCAACCCCTGCAGCTAGCAGCCGTGGCATGTTACGCCAATGAGGCGATCACGACTCCTATCGGATCAGGAATGTGTTGGCGCTGCTCTTCTTTGCTCGCGGCACACCGATTGTGTACTACGGGACTGAGCAGAGTTTGACGGGGCACCAGGCCAACGTTCTGGAGATGCTTGGACTGCCCCCGGATTTCCTGCTCGGATGTTTGCTTCCAAGTTGTACGGGCACTGGATGGGGTTCGACATTTGGAGATTCAGGGGTGGCCGTCTTCTGAAAGAAGCATGTCTAGAATCTGGAGCCAGGAGGTTCCGGGATACAAGGTGTACTTCCTATGTCCAGTTTGCTCAGTTCATGAAGTTGCAGAACCCGGCCTGAGACATGTCCAGCAGCGCCTGAGCCGAGGAAAGCTGCTCTAAAGAAAAGTGGGTTGTCGGACAAGGGCCAGGCTTATGTCAGAGAATCAATGTGGCAGACTCGGTGACTTGGCACAAGGAATCTGATCTGCACGGCTTGCACGTCTCCGGAAATTTTGAAACAGGCGCCCCGAAGCAGCCCGAAGTAGCCTGGCAGGTACAACACGTCGACTTGGCAGTACCAGTACATCAAGCAGCTGCGCCACGGTTGAGCAGTTTGATATATTCCGGCGGGGTTTCGGATGTTTCTATAACCAGCTCGTGACACGGGCAGTTCTTCATACTTGCTTTGTCCATGGTGACTTGATGCACTGCAAAGTTTAAAGTTGAACGATTGTTAGGCGTCATTTTGTTTTGTTTTTGGCACGTACATGCACACTTGACGTAAAGGGGGTATATATCTTTGTGAGGACAAGCGGCCTTGCTCTTTGATCCTCGTTTCGACAGTCGTCGTGTGTGTCTTACAAGCTTCCTGCGCCGGTGCAGTAGTGTCTGGCACCGGATATCGTGATAGCTGCGACGCGTGCAGTCGATGCGCACTGCTGCAGCAAGCAGCTCGACCCATGAACAATGGCTCGGCTTGGCTTGGCAACAATGTTAGTGCGGAGCGTGCAGACACTGCTTAATGATGCTTCGCCTTTGGCTTCACGCCAGCATCCCTCCTGAAGATGCTTACTGGTGCAAACAGACGGAGGTGCTCGGGCTCTCGCACAAAACTTCACAGTGCCGTTGGGCAGTACTGTATTGGTAGTCCAGGCCTTGCTGGATGCACACATGATACGGCTTTGGTGCTGCAGTCCCGATGCAGAGATTGGGTGACGGCAAGGAAGAGGCTCTGCTGCTGGATTTGGTCCAACGACCCAAGCTTCCTCAACCCCTGAGCCCAATTAAGCCGAGGGTGAGAGCCAGTTAGGCCGGGCTTGTGGCTTGTGATTTCCGTAGCTCCTCAACTGTGCACAAAACTAGGCTTGGGCCAGGGTTGCGAGGGGCAGAAAAGGGAAGTATAATCTGTACCAGGCGGGTGGTTTCATAAGCGGGCAAAACGCCACAGCAGCCACCTTCATCAAATTCATCAACCTTGGCCGAGAGACCGGACTTATAGACGCAAGCGCTGCCCTTGTTAACCATGAAGCCATGAAGCGGATGCTCTAAACATAGTCGCTCTGGCAAGCGGGCGACAACCTCTTGGATGCGCGACCTTAATTGAAATGTTGTTTTGGACACAGTTGTCCCTCTCAGTGGGAGCGGATGCTCTCACGTGCCCGCTATGAAAGCTGATGCCGGCGCGGATGCTGTAAAGCTCTGGTGCCATGCGCTTTGCCGGCGTGTTGCTTGTTTTCAGCGGTTTTCGAGCCAAGAAGGAAGCAACTTGAAACCGCTTCTCGGAAGTTTCCGGTCATGCAATGTGGCCCCGGCTACCGCCCCGACCCCCCCGAAACAAAGCCCATCATAAAGAATGCTTGGACTATCCGGACCAACATTGTTACCAAGCCGAAGCAAAGCAAGCCCTGTGTGTACACATGCGCCATTGGGCCTTTCACGCAGACAGCATTGGTATTCTGCCTCTCCCGCATCAACACAAGTGGGTCTCCGATGAAAGAGGGTCACTGCTTCCATCCGATTTGCAAAGGAACCACCTGCGCAAGCGGTATGGCATCGACGAGGGGGAGCAGGACAGGGCAATTTGGCGGTGTGCAAATGCTGTCCAAGGCGGTCCGGTCCACGGCCACATGCTGGCAATACTTTGACTATGAAATCGTCCCCCGCTACAATAATACAAATGGCATCTAGCTTGGACATGTGAAACAAGCAAAGATCCACCCAAACGACATTTTCATCTCTCGTCACATTTTTGTGCTCCAGGGTCTGGGGAGATATGCTTCCTCAGAGAGAGGCGGCATTGATGCAGAGCAGCGCAAGCAAACGGTGATCTAACTTGAAAACCACGCGCAGCATTGGCACAGGAGCTGGTCAGCGTTTACCACAACCACTTGATCTTGAAGCGATTTCCTACCAATGGAGGCCGTCCGTTGTAACACTGCCTGCTGGCACGCATCGTAGGCATCAAGGGATACCATGCTACAGGAGCTTTGATACACCATGGCAATGCAGGAGTTCAGCATGTTCGCTTGACTTGGCGCGTTTCCATGGCGGTTGAGGGGATATCCTATCCCCGGAATGTCTGACAAGTTTGTATTCTTGCAAGGCGAGCACGCCGTATGGCTCTTTATCAACAACAATCAAAATTGGACCGGCGTGGCTTGGGATATTTAGTCGGAAGAATCTGTAGCCGTCATGTGTTCCAACAGTCCGTGCTGCTGCAAACAAGGAATCACCTGTTCTGTACTGCCCAGCGCCTTGGGAAGAAGAAGCCTGGTATGATGCATTCACCGGCCTTCGTGCATTCCTTCGCAGCTCAGCCAAATTGAGAACGAAGGGCCATCGCCATCGTCAACGCAAAGCAGCACATGCACACTACACACCTACACGATGCTGGCATATGGAGTTGCCACAGCTGCAGGAAATGGCTGCTACATGGCGACTGACAGCAAACCGAAGCTGCTTGTTCGAGGAGCCTCGCATGCAAGGGACATTCTTCTCACGGAGCAACCTCAGATCAGTGAGTACTTGTTAATAAGCTAAGCCCCAAGTGAGTTGACCAATTAAGCCGCTGCAGCCCGCCAACGGAATACATGTCGAATGTCCACTCATCCTTAATTCTTTTCACGTCTTGGTGATGCATCATTGGGCAACTTGAGTTCCCTCAGGAGGCGAAATTTCTTTTGACCCCGCGGGTACCCTCCTGCCTGCACCAGCTTACATCAAGGGTTTGCATGGAACCATCAGGGGTCATTTGGGTGAAAAATGACCTACCTGCTCTGAATCGCAGCTGAACTGAAGAACGTGCGGCATGGCTCTTGCCCGGAAGTCCACCTCCAGGGAAGAGCCGCGTCGCATGAAAATCCGCACGGGTGTCAAGGAAAGTATCCTTCCCGGCGGGTGGCGGTGGCTTGACACGGCCTGTTGTGACATCAGAACGTTGTCTTTGAGGTCAGGCGCTTGACTGTTTGAATTCCAGCCGCTGACAGGGCGATGACGTTTACGGTGCCCCTTAGCAGGGATGGCGCCTGAGGCGAGGGCTCCATGGTGAGGCCGCTCATCACTCACCCACTCATGCTCAAGAGAACTCATTCATGTCTCAATGACCTGGCTCTCGAACTTCTCTTGGCACGACGGCGGAACGGCCTGAAGGGGATGCATGTCTGCCTCGAAGTGTTCTAACCACTCGACTGGAAGCCTACTTGAACGCTTCCCAGGAGGCTTCTGGCTTGTCTGAACCCCCCTAAAACGTTTGCAATTTAGAGTTCGAGCTGGTGCGGGAAGGATGGGGCTTCCATGTTGGGCATTCGGTAAATAACATGAGTCTTCTTTTGACGACTACCCGCACTAGATTCGTCCCAACTCCTTTTAAGTCGAATGCCATTTGGGAAGAGAGGGCGCTGCGGTGCGTGCCTGCCCACCAAGGAATGAGAGGTCCGTTCGTAAAGGGCGTGGAGACCCTGAGTGAGCCAAAACATGTTTGGATACTTTGGGTATTCACTGCGCTGCTTCTCGGCTGTACTACAGTGGAGTTATAAAGTTCACACGGGGGGATCCCTGCACTAGGGCTTGGGATTGGTGTAGGGTGTGGGGTTGGTCACACATGCTGCAGAATTAAGACCGGCTCCAACAGCTGGCGCACAGAAGTGGATGTCATCCTTTTGCCCGATATTCGATTGCGCATCGTGCCTTCTCGGCCCCCACACCACCCCAAACCCTATACCTTCAAGCCCTAAACCATTCCATTAAACCCAAAAACCCTCAACTCTCAGCCCTAAAACCCAAGGACCCTAAGCCCTAAAACTTTTAGCCGATTTTTTCGAGCCCGGAAATCATTCCTGCGATCTAGGCTGTGCGGGAGGGAACAAAACATCTTGTGCTCATACAGGGATGGCCTGCATGGCGAATTGTCACAAAGCCTGGAGCCTCGCCCTCTTGTGCCACAAATACGGGGAGGGGGAGGGCAGGGGCAGGGTGGCGGCGAGGGGAGGGGGGGCCGAGGCGCAACCACAGATGTGGATGTCATCTGCCTGCGACATGCAAAGCTGAGGCTTTGCGTGACGAATGCCTACACTTTATGGAGATGCAGGAGGGCCTCAAAGGCGCAGAATGGCGATGACTCCTACGATGCTCCTACGTCCGCAGGGGCCTAACAAGGCTTTTTTTTGGTTACCGTCGCGTGTACGATAAATTCGCCTTCTTCCGCCCTTTTAGAACACCGCCCCTGTCATTTCCATTGCGTTGGAACTTGCACGTGGTTGCCCGTTGCCAGCTGCCTTATTCGAGTCGCAGCCTGAGTCAGTTCAACCAGCCTAAGGAGTCCGATGAAGAGAACTTCTGTCCTTGGAAAGAGTGAGGCTCGCAGGCTGCCGCGTCTCCTTCATTTTAACCATATGCTCATTGTGAGGTAAAGCATTTAGTAACTGCAAGCACCGCCTTTCCAGGCATACTCTCTTTCCCAAACCCGCAGCATGCTAAGTTGCTGTCAGGCACACGAACAAAGTAGTGCGAATACCAGTACATGTATGCAGCTGATGCCAGCTGTCAAGGTTTCACATTTTGCAAGCTGTGGTGGTGGAGCGCACGACCACAGCAGGGAAAGTACGAAAAGCACAAGCGTGAGTGCAAAGGCTCATGTGCGAAAGGATGCGAATAAGATGTCCGCCTTGCTTCCAAGGGCCTTCCAACATCCCCACAAAGCAGTCTGTCACGTAAGAGGCTCGTTCTTTTGGAAGCTCGGCCGGACATTGGAACTACGCCGCAGATGAAGCCAAAGGAAAGGTAGCAAAGTACAGCAAAGTACAATGATGATCGAGTAGGAGACGTCAAGGTTTCGTTCGACCTCGAAGGTTTTCCAATGGCTTCGCACGGCATTGATTAATATCTGTAAAGGGCCACCGTTAATTCTTTGACTCCACTCAGCTTTTGGGCGCTTCTCGGCGAGAGATGGCCAGCGCCATCTTATACTTATACAACTTACAAAGCAGGCAGTCAAGGAGGGAGCGAATGTGTGAGACGCTTCCCCTTTTGTTTTCCGAACCAGGGCGCTGCATGCTTGGCTACAAAAATCGGGTCCCTGCACTGCAATCTGTCCCACGCTCATGAGCCAACAGCGGCGTGCCGAAGTACATGGATATAGAAGCTACGGCAGGCTGCGTGTGACTGGCTTGGGGTTCCAGGAAGTGTCCAATCCAAACTGAGGGTCGACCAATCGTGTTCAACTAGGCTGAGCCTTGTGCTCAACAAGGCTTGTTGCAGCTGCCCCAGGGATAGGGCTGGTTGTATTGTCCGCAGGAATTTGGTCCCAGATAGCCATGGCGATTTGGGGGTAAACGCCGGAATGAGCTTGCCGGCAGTGGAGGCTTGGTGACTTGCTTCTTTCTGCACAGCTGTTTATCTGCACCTTACAGATGAAGAAAGTCTGTGCACACTCCTTCCGGTGTTTGTCGTGCTCTTTGGATCTCGGAGGAGTAGTCCAATCTGTCATGATCTGGGGCCAGGGTCTTGCCAGGTAGCCACGGCGACGCCCAGCGCGCGACCTTGCGTTGCCACTGCGCTGCAGTATAGGCTTGTATTCATGCCATGATGTGCCCCATTAGAGTTAGGATCAGCCATCGGTATCGCAGCCCAGGAGCGATGGCTGTCACCCATGACGGAAAATGGCTTTCGAAGTGGCCGCTGGGCACGCGCATGGCTGTGGCATGGCCACACTCTTTGCTCACCAATCTGAGAATGCTCTTGCTTGTTGTCTATATCAAAATGAGTTTCGCCCAAAAGTCCAGCTGTGTCAACCTACCAATCACATGGTGTCACGCATGTTGTGGATTTGGATGAGGTGGTTTAGGTCTTTGGCATGATTATCGTAAGTAGAGCACTCTTAAGCAACAAAGAGGAAGAGTGCGTGGAAGCAAAGTGCTGTCCAGATTTTTAGATGGCAACTTCCTCGAGCCTGATCAAACCCAGTCGCAACAAGACACCATTTGGCCATCATGTCAGAATCATGTCTGGGCCCGGCTCATGCAGAGCCAGCTGGCGGTCAGACACCCAGGAATGTTGACGCTAACGACGACCGCGCTTGGGGGTGGAGTGCTCTCGGTTGCCTTTGCGCCTGCCTTATTCGTTCCAGCTTGTCCAAACCGCCACTGTGGTCTCATGAGCGCTGCTTACCACAGCAAGGTTATGAATGTTTGTGGAGTGGGGCTGGGCTGCGTGATGCTGATGACTGGTGCACTCCTGGCTTATGTGGGAATGGATGCCCTGATGGACATGCCTATCGCTTAGTACGACATTGAAAGGCCCAGCGAGATTCATCGAGCCACAGAGTCAGGGCACGCTTTGGCCATGAGGAGCACCAGAACCGGCTGCAGCTCATACGCAGCTCTCTTTTCCCACTGTGCTGGACCCAAAGCAGGCCGAGAGAGAGAGAGAGGCAGAGAGGAACCGGCAGGGGGTTTTTCACTGCACAGAAAGAGAAGAGAGTAAGAAAGACAAATTTAAAACAGAGGCAAAAAAGAGTAACCATTCTGGCTCAAATTGGGCAGGAACCCGCCGCCAGACAGTGCTCGAGACAGCGCAACTGCAAAGACGGCCGGGTTGCTGATCTCTCTGATCTCTCGTCACCCTCCCTGTGAGAGTACCGCCTGGTCCGAAGCAACAAGCTGTCACAAACAAGCAGAAAGGAAGTGCTAGGGCACAGTTTTACCAGGCATTTGCAAAGGGAGGACTTCTTTGGTTGTTGGGGCATAAGCAAATCGAAGCTTCGAGGGCAACGAGGAACCGAGACCTGGACGTCGCCGAAACAGCAACAGCGAGTCGCGCCGAGAAGGACAGGCCACAAGCGGAGCACCAGCTGCAACCGTTTGGAGCAAAGATGAGGACTATATCCGAGAGCAAATAGGAAGGTGACAGCGCCAACAGCAAACAGGCAGGGCCAACGGCAAGGCACGCGCGTAGGCACAGGCACAAGCACAAGCACCAACGGGGTAGGGGCAGGTCGAGGATGGCGACGAGGGGGGGGGGGGGGGGGCGACCAGCGACGGAGCAAGCAAAGCCAGACAGCCCAGATGCGCCACAGCCACTACATCAGCAGACCCACAACGCGGGGCATGGTGGTGGAAGGACAGGGGCACACCGCTGGGCGCACACCACGGCAGCCAGTGAAGCAGAACACTCCTCGCCAGGGAAAGGCAAACCCCAGAAGCCCAAATGAGATCGAGGACCAGCTAGACAGGAGAGTGACGAGGGAGATGCGAGAAGGGCAAGTAGCATGAGCCCCACTATCGAGGAGCTCTGGAGCAGGGGGAGAGGGTCAATAGCAATGTGCCCACACAAAAGCCGGGGCGGGCAAACCCGCGGGGCCTCTGCTCTCAGGCCGCGCAGGAAAGAAACACAAACGAACACGCACTTCGACCACGCGTGCGCTGGCTTGCTCGGAGGGGTTTACCCCATCATTCATGCCCTGCAGAACGAGTATCGAGAGACAGAGTGAGAGAGAGTGCCTTTCTTGGGGGGGGGGGTCATACGCCTAGCAAGCAAGCACGCAAGCAAGCAAGAGAGAGAGAGAGAGAGAGTGCGAGAGAGAGAGAGGGATGGTGTGTTCGGGGCTTTTGCTTCACGGAGAAAACAGCCAACCATCATAGTATCATAACCCAAACTAAGGGGACCAACAGGGAACCCTGAAGTGTAACACTGGACAACGGACTCGGGCGCGCGTGCGCGCAAAAAAAAGGCCCCAGGCCCCCAGGTCCCTCTCAAGCCCAGCAGAAGAAGAAGAAGAAGAAGAAGAAGAAGAAGAAGAAGAAGAAGATAGGGATGGTGATAACTTGGTGGAACGCATTCGAACCCCGAGCCTCGAAATTTCACAGGGAAGCTGCGAAACACGCGGTCGCCACAAGGACTGACCCTCGGACTTCGCGCCCCCCTGGGGGCGGCCTCCCTTCGGAGGGCCTAAGCGTGCAGAGAGAGAGAGAGGGGAAAAAAAAAGAGACACAGCGAGACAGAGAGAGAGTGAGAGAGAGTGAGAGAGAGAGCGCAACATCGAAGCGCATTCTTAGCGTTCACGGCTAGGCCCCATTTTGGATGCGATGCTCTTTATCTATGGCAACGGTGCCTGCGTACTGTGCTTAATAGCCCTCGTGGCCATGTGGCACATGAGCGCTGCGATGGCTTGCCAAAATGACCACTTGTGCATATCTAGAAGATGTAGTGTCCTTAGCTGCCATTGTGCACCGAGGTGGGATACATGGTCTTCATCGGGGATTTCGTGCCGAACATCATCGCTTTGATTTTCCCAGAGGACTGGGCGCAGGACACAATGGGCCACTTTGCGATTAAAGGTACAGCGTGGCACAGTCATGGCCTCGTTGCACATAGGAGAGCGTGGAGAGTGTGAGGATTTCTGAATCATACTGAAGCAATCTAGGCCCCACACGTACCTGTTCCATACTTGTGGCGGCCGTGTTGCACTCAGCCCGAGTGGACTGTGAGATCCTGTCAATGAACAGCCTTTCATCGATGCTTTGTATGTGTCTTCCTTCGCTCCAGAGGTGCTGCTGGTGCCGATGATGCTTCCTAGCGATCTATCCAAGCTGAAGTTTCTACAGCCAGTCTCTATTATGTCGCTTTTGCAGCTAGGCTCCTCAATATGGCATGGTGCAGGCAGGAGAAGAGCCTTGCTACTGAGAGCTGAGCCTGAGGTACATGTCCTTCGTTGTGGCTTTCAGATGCCCGAGAATGTTCCAAGCGACTTGGTCTGCATCAGACCTGCCGAGAGCATCGACCGAGCATCGACAGCACAAACGGCAAAGGGTTCCCATGCACAGCTCAGAGGGGTGTCTCTTCAGGGGGCTACAATTATATCAGTGCTTCTGTCGGTTTTCATCTCCTTTTTGCTCTGGGGCTCCTCATGGCCTCTGCGGGCCTTGGAGGCCTCCGGCCTGACCACTTGGATTCTCAGCCGGCGGGCCTATCTTTTTTCGGTACTGGTCCCTGCACTGCAATGTTCAACTTGTAAACTGCTGTTCAGCCCAAAACCGCGAAATGGAAAGGATATGTGGGCCCACTCATCCTTGGAGCATGGGGGGGGGGGGGGGGGGCAAACAGGCGCTTGAAAGGTAGAAACCCTAGGCTTTTCCTTGCCTGTGCATGTGGAAACCACCGTTTTGTTTTGTTCTGCAACTGTGTGTGTGGAGGGCAGGGTGCATACCAAAAACGATCTCCACTCTGCTGGCTTTTTAGCTTAGGACTCATCATCGGATGAGGGTGCTTGCAATCAGGGGTCCCACGAGTCAGGACATCGAGTTGGAAAATGTAGAAGCCAAAGTCAGAACGCACAACAGCCCAAACACCCTGAACCCCTGTCCTCCATGTCCCGATGTTGTAGTGAGCGGCGCTTGGAATTCAAGTCCCACGTGCCTCAGAATATTTTAAACCCTGCGCCGTATCCGGTGCTTCCAACAGCCTGACCATGCAACTTCTCTGACGACCTCAGTCAGAAAACCCCATGCACCTATGAAGCTTGCAATGTGCCATACCAGTCTTATCAGACCTTCAAACACGGTGAGCAAGTCGGCGCTTACCGTGCTGTTCCGCCATCAATGTCGGTCTTTGGGGCGGCTCCGGGATACGGGAGTACCCCAAGAGTGGGCCCCCGTGCCCGATCTATGGTGAAGTCGGGTTATAGGGGGCGGTGGGCAGCGAGGGCGGGCATGGGCCTGTGAAGGGTGATGAAGGCTGGATTCTGCATGAGCAGACCCGACCGAAACAGAGGGTCACCAGCTAAACATCTGTGGATATCTGTTGCATGGATGACACAGCAAGTTCGGATGCAGTGTGGCGATGTCTATTGATTAACATCGAAGGATAGAGACTTTGCAAGAATCTGCTCACGCAGTCGCCCCGTGTCAGGTGAATCAGGTCACCGATGGGCCTGTCAGAGTGGCCAGCTTTACTGTGCATTTTTTTGAGGCCGGGCACACATGGCTTCAAAATTCTGCACTAAGTCGTGAGTTAGCATGCCCTGGTGTTAATTACGTAGTTCCGGGCAACACGCAAGACATGCTGATGTAGTCATGGCGCCCGCCAGGCATTCGCCTTGTGCGTCTTCGCTTTCAACTGTCACTTGAACGTGGTGCCGATCGCAGATCGTCTCGTCCGACCAACGCGCGAACGAATGAAGAAAGTTTCGGCACGTGTGAACATTTTCCAATGTGCCTTCTACATTTTGATCGGTGTCACCGGTTTCTTGCCTCAGTTTCTGCGAACCTACTCGCATCACTTTTGGAAGTAGGGGCTGTGGGCATGAACCTGTCATGTCTTGGCGAGTTTAGGCTACTTGTCCTTTCTCAACAAGACTCGCTCGGACATCCTGCAGAATTATGATCCCACGGACTGCGCGCTGGCATGCCATCATGACCTTAGGGCCTTTCCCTTTCGCAGCGCAAGCATAGGGCGCCCGTGCAGGACTACATGGTAGCGGCCGGCCGATGCTTTCTGACGCTTACGATGATGGCAGCTCTGCTCTTGTATAGGACCTGGGTTGCCTTTGTTGTAAAGTTGTGGAGTCGTCGGGTTGTTCTTGAAGCAAGTCAAGTCAGGCATGAGTACTTGTCGCCTGTTTGTTTGACGAGTGCCACTTGAAGAGGACCTCTTCACTGCACAAACAGGAACCTCTTCAACGGGAAACGCGAAAGTTTGCTCTGTTCCATGAGACATACTCGTAGGAACTTGGGCAGGTGTGCATTCTTCTGCACGGGATCTCGCTCGAACGAAACATGTACGAGATCGTACGAGGCTTCTTCTCCCTCGACCCAACGGCCATGAGGGAAAGGAGAGCCATGGCCCCGAAGTGCCCCGTCCCGTCAAGAAGCTCTTCACAGCACACGCAGCACACGAAGTGGCTTGCATTGTTGAGGCCCAGATTGAGGCAAGGCGCCCGACCGATTCACGCATCACTACTGGGTTCACTCAAAAAATCTGCTTGGACCACACCAAAGACTTGCTGGGCCCACCAAGAGCACACATTCGGCCAAAAGAATCGACATGTTTCTTGCGCGCCGAGAAATCTAGAGCCTGTCTGTGTCCATCATCGACCTATCACCTGAAGCAGTCCCTACGCTTTCATGTGAAGCAAACACAAAGTCCCTTTCGATCGGCAAGAGAGGTTTCCAATAGCTTTGAGCTAAGTGAGAGATGATCGGACATTACGCCGTAGCATTGGTTTAGATTAGCCACTGATTAGCTTGTTAGGGTTGATTAGGGTGTGGAATCGTGGAGGTGCGGGAGTAGCCTGGCATGCCTGACTTTTTGGGACAAAAGACCTGATGGGCCATGTTATATAGGTGAGGTCCAGTTGCATTGCAGTTAGGTGGGTTTGCAGCTGGTTTAGCTCTTCTCCTAGCTAAGCTACATTGGATCAACATCATCTTTGCTGAATCTGAAGCGCCACCTTGTTCAGCCAGGAATCTATAAATGCACGAGCAAAGTGAGCTCTCCTTTCTTCGCTTGGTTTTCATTCGTTTTTTCACTCCATGTACAACCTATTGCTTTGTAGCCCTTAGGACTTAGGACTCTCTCTGTGCAAGGGAAATGAACGAGTCTTCTGGAACATCTTATGTCCTGTCTCATGTCCCTAGTGCATTGGTCCTCCATGACAAGTCTGCGCGTGATGGCGAGCCATGCGTGGACGACAACAGCAATTCTAGGCTGGGTTTTTTGTCTTCCTCATGCAAACTCGAAGACTCCAGAAAACGTGGTAGTTGGTAAACCAAGTTCATTCAGAGCAATATAAAGCACGCTTTGGACCAAGTTCATTCAGAACAATTATAAAGCAATGCTTCGGTTACAGCGCAGTGCTCTATCCAGTGGTCTGCGTGTTACTACCTCGAGCGACACAGAAGACAGGGGGCGCTGATGCATCTTCGCTGGCTATCATCATTGGGCTTTGAGGTGCGTTGGGGAGTCTCCCGGCAGCGGGACTTGCCCCCCGGCTCTAAGCCAAGACAAGCATTTAGCAACCACTCGCGGGTCTATAGTGCTTGTCGGAGTCGGCTTCTTGTCTCTTTCTATGCCAAGCTTCATGCATTCCACTTTTCGCAGCTTGGCAAGAACGCCTTCCTTCCGGCCAGTACCACATCGTCGATCAAAGCACCAGGTTTGGTCAAGTTTCCTTCCGCTGTGCTAAGTGCAGCCACTCTGGCTGGCGTTCCTTGCGCTGCATGGATCTTGATGCCTTGATCTAGCATGATCTGTATCATCCTCATCGCTGTGAGCTGTCTTTTGCCTCTCCGTTAGCCTTTGCCATTTCAAGCTGTATCTGCACTCCCATGCTCGAGATTCATGTCCCGCGCATCCAGGCACTTCTTTAGGCTTTAGATCCAACCGCAAGCGCAGATCCGAAGCCCTCCCCCCTCCTCTCCCCCAAGGCTCGGGTAGACAACTGAAAACGAAACTGAAGCATGAAGCAATGAATAATCCCTCCCCCTTTTCCGAGGGAAAAAACGGGTGCCCTGAGCCCAACATGGTTGAGTAGGTACGGCAACCTGAAACCGGAGCTGAAGCTGAAACGGTTGCCCCCACCCGCACGGTCTGGGATCTGTACTGTACCCCCCACAGGAGCTAGGCCCAGGCTAGAACGGAATTGAGGGATGTCACTCATTTATGCCAAGGTCGCTATCCCAGCGAATCTGAATCCAACCGAGCCTTGACGTTGTGTCACAAAGTTCTTTTTTTGCATCGGGCATCACTGAGCGATCAGTGCAAGAAGAGCTCACAGAAATAGCACAACTTGTCGGCGACAATGAAGGTGAAATCTGGTGTTCAGCTGAAGGAATACTTTGTGAAGGCAGAACCCTCGCTGCTGGAGCACCTCTGCTGCAGCTTGATTGCCAGGCGCAAAGCCACACGAGGCTTATGCAGGTCACTACGGTCTTGGCAACTTAAGATTGGCTGACCAAGGAGCCCGGCAAATTCAGAGGGAGAAGTTCGAGACCAACCATGCTTCCGTGCCGCGGCATTAAAGTCATTAAAGCGCTTGGGCACGGGTAAACGGACATTTGGCCATGTCAGCTCGAGGCATCGGGGTCTCTGTTGCCTGCTTGGCTTGTCAAGCTGCTGTTGCCGCCACTCGGCGCTCCTGGGTTGGCGTATGCAGCACGTACATTGTGCACATTGGCAATGTTCCCTGCTTCCCGTTTGCGCTTGCGCACTGTAGCAGAGTCTCGCGGAGGTGAATGTGCCGAACGTGGGGACTGTGCTCAGCAGCTCTGTTCATCGTAGCATGCGCGGGTCGACGTCTGGATGTTCTTCGTAGAATTTAAGGAAGGTGGGGTATGGCGAAGCCATTTTCGATTTTTGCTTGTGTCGTGTTATGTTTTCCTTTGCTTGCGGCTTCGGCGGCGGTTTCTCTAGGAAGGACAGCCTTTCACGAAAGCTAGCGGAGCTAGGCCTGAGTTTGCGGTTGCTTGAGCAGGTCAGGCCAGACGGTCTGGAAAACAGCGAGCTATTGATTCTGCCATAGGTTGGGGCGTAGTCAGCGTTGACTGTTTCAAGAAAATCTGCTGCATTGGGGAAGGGGTGTGCGGCTTGAAAGTCATCTGTGGCTACCTCGGTTTTTGATCACCCAAGGAAGTAGGCACAAATCGCACTTGCGTGTTTTGGGTGTCATTAAACTTCGATAGATGGGGCAGAAGCACGAGTCCCAACCTTAGACCGACCATAAACTATCTCTCGACCGTGGTGGGTTCTTATTCCTGTTGTGAAGCTTCGTTCCCATACCCTGTTTTAGCCTGGACCTACACAGATACAAAGGAAATAGGGGTTTCCCAGGTAAGTTTAGAGGAAATAGAGTGTCTTCAAACCTAAAGAGCATGCAGAGGAAAATGTTGCATAGAGTGAGGAGTTTCCATAGAACGAAAAGCATACGCCAAGAGAAGACAGCTTCACATTTGCGAAATGCAACAGACGCGCAAGGGCAACGTGCTTTTGATTGTTCACAAGTCTTTGGATGGTTTTTCCAGCCGTTCACTCTACGGATTCCCGAGGTAGAACACCAAACAAGTTCCCAAGTTAATGTCGGCCCCATACTGATTCGTGGCCAAGGTCTCCTGGGAGCCACCGTTGCAACGGATGCTCAGCCAAAAGAACTCGATACACAGTTACGGTTACGGCATCCGCGTTGCAGCTGCATCGTGACCAACTTGTAGCTGGAGGGAGCGGCAACTGCAGGCTATGATGCTTATCATTCCAGCATACTGCATGGGCATTGTCATGGAGTGGTCTTGGAAACGCCAGATCAAGCAGGCAGGTTGCCATTGCCAAGTCACATGCCGGCTCGTCAGAATTCCCTGAAGTAGCCTATCCGTTCAGCCCACGAACTTCGGATCTTCTAAGCCACTCGTGAAGGCTGTTCTCTACATTTGCGCGTTGATCAGTCCGCAACTTAGATTTCGCCGGCCTTCGGGCAATGCCAATTTGTGCCGTGTTCGTACGTGTTGGGGAGCAGTTCTCCAGACAAGAGCTTGCTATCTTGACATGGCAGCTTGGCCACACATGAGCTCGCGAATATGTGACCATTTCATCGCGCAGGTGTAACTTCCATTCCATTTACGGTGCTGGAAGCCGTTGGTGTTTTGCCAAAGCCGCAACCTGGCGGACGAACAAAGCTGGGTCTAGTAGTGTCAAGCTCTTGCGATTTCTCCAGGCCACTTGCTGAAAGCATCCCCAATAAAGCACAAATCCCAATAAGCCCGGCTGGCTGAGGCCTTGAGAATCCGGTGCCTTGTCAAACAGCTCCCGCTGAACAGCCGGAACCTTTTGATCACTTAGAAAACCGAATGTTTTGCATGGGCCACAAGTATGCTTTATGCGCCCAATCTTTGTACAGGCTCCGATGGTTGGAAGTTTGTTGATATGTGCCAGAGGCAGATCGCAAAGTTTCACGGGTCAGCTCAAGTTAATGATCGCTCTTCGCGGCATCAGTTGCCGCTGGTGCACTCTGCAAAAGGCAGCTCATGGATGAGCATGATGAGCCTAAGCACAAAAGGGACCGGTCTCTTTCCTCAGGCTGCAGTCTCTGCCGAGCATGGCAATGCATCATTGGTCTCGCAAGGTTGCGTACGGCTTTGAGCGGACAATTGTCGATACGCAACCTGTGCAATGCAGTACCGGGCACGCGGTAAGGAAGGACTTTGAGGAGAACGAAACGAATTATACAGACTGAAATGTAAGGATGCAGGAAATAAAACACAGGATAATACTAGTGTTTGGATTGACAGTCAATGTGTGCCATAAATTGCCGCCGTTTCCTCGGGATTTTTGTTTTTATTGGATTACTGTATTAGAGAATTCTAGAAATTCAATACTTTCTTCATGTCGCGTACTAGATAAGAGCCGGGACAAGCAGTCGTCTACATGGGAATTTTCATGCAGTGAGATATCGCTGATGCAGGATCCGAGAGGGCGTTCCACTGATATGAATTTGCATGGGTGCCCGTGGAACCGAGCGTTTACATCAAGATTTTGATACAATGGGATCCGCCGTCGAACATCGTCGAACATGCTTCACTTCTCTCGGGTGGGAGGATGGGTTTAGCAGACAGGTCCATCCAGTTTCTGAAAATGCCCGAACCTTCAAACCAAACCTAGACTCCCAACTCCGACCAGTTCACCCCGCAGTGCTGTGGCTAGACGGGTGGCAAAAAACAAAGACTTACGGGCTTTGGGAAGCGATTTGGGGTTTGGGAGCCAATTTTCGGTTTTGGGAAAGCACAATTTTTCGCCAATTTTGGGCTTTGGAAGCCAATTTTGAGCGTTTTGGGAGCCAGGAGCCAATTTGGGCTTTGGTAGGCTGTTTTGGGCTTTGAGAGCCTTGGGGGGGTTTTGGGGGGGGGTTTTGGGGGTAGGCAAAGGAACAAAGTGCATGAGCTGGAGCTTGAGCCTTTTTGGGAGGTTGGGGAGGGAAAAAGGCCAAACACACGGGGAACAGCAATCTCCACTCTCCCGGGACACTCCGCCTGGCCACTGTTCAGTGCGGTAGCAGGACCCGGTTTCTCGGCCCAAAATGTGCAGGGTCTGGTTTCCGCCCTTTCTCTGCTCTCTTGCACTTCGTACTTCCAGCCTCCGGGCCCTGTGGCCACTGCCCCTTATCACTCTCTCACTCGCTCGGAATGTGCAAGAAGTTGCCCGGCGCCAGTGTCGCCGCGTGCACTCGTATTCTCCCCCGTGTGCCGCCAGAAGCGCGGCGAGTGGCAACAACGTGGCAAACCCGCAGCATGACTTGCCAAAACACAAATCACAATGGCACTGCCCAATTCTTCATGAGCTAGTGTAGCCAGGCCGTTTCGGTGGTTAGGTGCGTCGCTGTTCTGGGAGACAGCAAATATCTGCAATTATACATTTTGCCTGACCAACCTGCAGCCCACCCAGACTCAGATCAGTCAGTGTTCAAAAAAGATGTAGCAAGCTAATTTTGCCCAAGCCGTACTACAGTACAGCGTTCAACATGTACGTGTGGCAGATACTACGACTGTTTCAGCACATCGCAAGCCGCGGTCGCCATGGGGCAAGCGAGTTGCAGCGACGTGTTCAAGGCTGGGTTTACGCTCAGGTCTTGTTCGGTAGAACACTTGCAAGTCGGGACATGGAGTGTGTAGAAAAACATTTAAACCCACAGCCCTGGGGCCCTAATCTTGCACTTGTTGACCGTGTATTTAAAAGCCCTATGTCAGCCAGACCAACCTGAGCCCTGCATGGAATCGAAACAACTCTTTGGGACCTTGGATGTTCTTAAAAGATGCTGCTTTGTGGTGTGCTTCTTGCAAGTTAGGCAGGACCATCCGGAATCAGGATACACATGGGAGCGCCGTATGTTTTCAAACAAGTTTTCCTATCCGCTGGGTGTGTTCCGTGGGTTTTCTCTCAGCCCCGACGTGCTTCGTAGGATCTTGACTGTCAGTAGCCTGGTCGGTGGCAAGCATGGAAATCGCTGCACCATGGAATCGCAACCCATGTGTGCCAGCCAGGGAGGTTTCTATAACATCTTTGCCTCACTTGGAGTGTTTGCAAAGGACGTTTATGCATTCCCATGTTTGGGCACCCCGAAGCAGGTCACCTTCCCTTGTGTTTTTGCGTGTGTCAGGCCGATGAGGCGAAGCCACCGGCGCCGCCCACCCGCCGCGAACGGCGCACCCAGGCGCAGCCGAACTTCTTAAATCTTCTTGAATTGGAGATTGTGCGGCTCGTGCAACTAGCACAACTGAGGGAAGCATCTGCGCATATTGTCAGAAAAGGTTCGGCAAAGTAAAAAGCTTGAACGGACACTATTGCAACCCGCCCCCCCACCCCCGCTGTTTTTTGGTGTAGCAAAGCCTGAGACCAGGGGACGGGACTTAGACACAGGAAACCCTCAGTCTTAAACTCAAAATCCCGGCAAGAAAAGTAGCCGTCCGTCAGCGTGTCCGTGAGCCCCACTACTGCGCGTGCTATTGCTGCTGCTTCCACGTGGTCTTGGCTGAGCCTTGAGGAGACAGAAAACCCGGAATATGCCCTCGAACCTGGAATGTTCCCTCTAGAATTGCCACAAATAAGGTCAGCCAGAAAGAACCTTTTTTTGAACCTTGCACACTGGTCCAGGACACTGCTCGCAGCGAACCTGCACCAAAGGTGGCAGTACCGCTGGCCGCCCTGCTGATTTGTGCACTGTCTGTTTTTTGCGGTGTTTAGAATCGCCAAGAGGTTTCGTGTTGTTCAATTGGACAGCCTTGTGAATTCTGTGCTGGGAGCCAGTAACATGGGTTCAGTCACCAGCTGGGAATCTGCCTCGGTCTTGGGACGTCTTCTGTCTCCTTTGAATCGAAAGCCTCCGAGTCATGCGAACCCAAAGCAGCTTCAAAGCCACGGGGGCTCGAACGGCCTGACGAACCCTGTCATTTGGAGTCCAGGTCTCCAATTACTTGGCACACCAAGCAGAGATCCAGAGGCGACAAGGGTTGGTGGTCTACCGCTTCAATTCTTGAAACATGTTGAAATTTAGAGGCTGCATGCCTCCGAGCGAATGCCCAAGGACATTCACATGAGATGAATGGGACAGCGTGGTTGTCCGTTTACTTTTGCTTTTCGGCCAATGGACAGGTAAAGTGTGTGCATGCAGGCCCCTCATCACGCGGCTCACAAGTTGTGTCTTCTCTTGTCTTCTCCAGGAAAAGTAGACATCTCGCTGACTTGCTAGTACCTTGCACCATGGCGCGTTCAAATTGCGCAGCACTTGCCTTGCAGCACGGTGGTGCTTTAAGCAAGCCGAAGCTTTTCTCAGAT